TCTTGTAACTCGTCCACCTCTTCTTCTTCACTCTCACTTTCTTTTTCTTCGACACGCTCCTTTTTATTGGTGTTTTCTTTTTCTACGCCGGCGGTTTTCTTAGACTTCTCTAGCTCAGTCTTGCTACTTCCTGCCGGTTTGGAAGAAGCAGCAGCTGCTGCTTTCCTCGTCGTCATTGAAAACCCTCTTGTCGACGCGAATTTTGGTAGAACACTTGGAAGGCGTTCCACATCGCTGCCTTTTCGTCAGCAGCCGCGGGCGCTTCCGCGGACGTGTCGTTAGGCGCCGACCCTAAACTCTGCGCCTTCTCCGTTTCCAATTGACTAACCCGTTCCTTAAGGTCATGTACCAACTGCTCTTGCGTTGGTTGACCCGTCAACGGATCCCTCCACTTATGCTCCGGCGGCTCCTCTTGTACGTACTGGGCCTCGCGCTTAATCGCGTCGAGGTCCAACGTATGGCCGCTACTCTCCATACTCTTTCTAATGAGGTCTAGAGTAAATTCTTCCCCATTTCTGAAGGGCGTAATAATTCTATTACTTTCAAGGATACGATAATCGCCACCTTCATGACGAATACGACCCGTATCCAACATCACCCTTCTAATTTTGCAGCCCATAACTGCATGAGCTGGCTCACCACAGAACCAGCAAGTCACTCCTCGTCGTTCTCCACCACCAGCGTCAGCATTTCGCCACACGCCTTGACTGTAGCCCTGTTGACCTGGTCGACGCGAAAAGTCGACGTACCCTCCGCCTGAGGAACCCAAGTTCGAGTAGTTCCTCCTTCCCGGCGGAACGTAGGATTGACCAATGTTGTTTCCTCCTGACGAGTTGTGCGAGTTGAATCGCTGAGAATGGTCGGTCAACCTCTTGTCGATTTTGGCCTCCATTCTCGTCTCAAACTCCGTCAGTTGCTCTTTTTGCTCTTTTCTGAGACCAGTGAGTGTATCCTTCCACTTGGCCTCTTGTTGATCCAGTCTTTCCAAGATGAGTTTAAACCCATCGTTGTCCGACTTAGGAGGCCCTGACCACTGGTACATCCCCGGCGGCATGTTTTGACTCCCTCTAGGGGTTCCAGCGTCCTGCACATGCTGCTCTTCTCTCTTGGGCTTAATACCCAATCTCTTCAACGTTTCTGCCACGGCGGTGTTGATGACGTCCTGGTCTGCTGTACCAGTGTCACTTAGATCCGTCGTGAAGCCAAAGACCGAACTATTGGAGTGTTCCCGGGCTACCACTTGGGCTACGTACAACAGATCGTCTAGCGTGTACTTAGTAACAATGGGCATAACCCGTTCCAAACCTGAGGAGTCGTAGAGCTCGCCATCGAAGTCGTCGTCTCCATCATCTTCGACTTGGATGGGATTGACTTCTGTCCCAAGATCACCTTCTGGGGCCGTAGAGGGTCCTCCTTCTTTGCCTTCTTCGGGTTCCACCTTTGGGCCTTTCGGGGCTTCCATCCTCTTCAGCCTCTTGTCCAATGTTCTGGCATTGGCTCTGCTCTCCCTCTTCTAATTCTGCCAGAATCCTTCGCTGGTCGGCTGTTGAGAGCCGTACTTGGACCGCCATTCTAAAGTTACGATCTAAGCACGCCAGGAAGTCCTGGACTAACGTCCTTTCTGAAAGGAGTTGGATTTTCCTCTTCCTTTCGGTCTCTCGAATTTTTGAGACCTCTGTTCTGACCTTCGCAATTAGGTCCATCAACTTCTGTTCCTCATGCATCTTAATCCTAACATATCTGTTGAAGATTTTCTCCAACTTATCAAGGCTTCCTTCTTGGAGTTCCTTGATGCCAGGATAGTAAGACAGAATTTCTGCCTTGAATTGCGCATATGTCCCGTCTCTGTATTGGGTCAGCCGGGACCACTGATCCTTTAAATCGACTTTCTTTACGAAGTCGACCAACGCCTTCTTTTTGTGCCTATCCAGCACTACGCTCGCTTGCTCAAACATTGTCTCCATCCGCTCGATGTAAGCCCATACTTCTGCCGCCGTGTCATCTTCCAACACTAAGTGGCTCGCCTTCCATAATTGAGGAACCCTAGGGTTCTTATACAACTGTTGGGTTGTCAAGTGATCAACCCTGGGATCCATGGAAATCTCGTATTCCATCTTGTGGTGGTTTTGTAACAACGGAGAGATTAAGGGTGCTTTTTCTTGGGTAGGAGTCTCGAAGTTCGAAAACTGAAGGTTTTTGTTCTCGTTGAACAGAAGTAGCCGTTTGAATTACCGGCGGTTGTGGAACGTTAACTTGTTCCTTTCCTCTCGGCGTTTCTCTTAAGACGCTCGTTTTCTTCGTCCTTTTTCTTCTTCTTGCCCTGCGTTCAGGGAGTCGTTCGATATCCTCTTCGCTCTTGTTTCCAAAATCCACAAAGCTTTCCCCTGTAGTAGGTTCGCTTGGTGTATTTGTAGTGGGCTCTGAAGTCGAACTTCTATCCTCTGAAGTAGCGCGTTGCTTTCCTTTGTCTCTTTTGTGAGATCGAAGATTACCTTCTACTTCGTCACTTCCGGCGGGAAGTTCTACCTCGTTTTCTTCTTTTACTGGACTAAGTTTTTTACCTTCTTCTCGCTGGCTTAAAGAAGCTTCTAGCGGACTATAAGGTTTGGGAACTGCTGGGGATTGAACTGACTTTCCTAAGTCTTCTAAGGATAAGTCCGAAAAATCGCCTTCAGTGGCGGAAGACTCTGTGACGCGGTAGCTACTTCTAAACGGATGTTTCTCGAAGTAAAGTGGCTCGTTTGGGGTTCCTAGCGAAGATGGAAACCCTAATTCTGCGACGTCGGTTTTGAGTTTATCTAACCGACGGTACGAAACGCTTTCTGCTTTTGGTAATTCAAAGCCGCCGGGAAAACTTGGTCCCTGACTGGCTCCTAACTGGAAAGTTGGAGGAACTGATTCCTCTTCTGACTCTGTCGCTGCGCCGGGATCAACTAGATCTTCAACTGCGGCTTCTTCGTCTTCTCCAGAGGTAGTTTTTGCTTTTGCCTCCTTGATTTGACGTTTTAGCGCTCTATCCGACTCTAGCTCTTGGTATTCCAAAGGTTGTCCCTGACGCTGTCTTCTCGTAGTTCTTTCTTCAAACGCTTTTCCTGTGAGCGGATTTATTCGCGCCTCAACAGACGGTTTTGGTGCCTTAGGATTTCTTTTCTTGAGAGTGGAAATCTCGTAGGCTTTTTGGTTTCCCGGCGGACGTTGGATCGAGCTCAAAGACCTAAGTCCGAAACTCAAGATCTGACGCAGCCGAAAGGTCGTGCTACACTTGTCTTTAAGTCCTGCTTTTCGCAAAACTTCGTCTACTTAAACTTGGAAATTGGACAACCCCTCGCGGTGCGGCTCCAAATGATGTGCTGGCTAGCACAGAAAGCACAAAGAAGAGCAAGAAGACAACCGGCGGTCCCGAATCGAGTGGAACTTGTTGTGAGACAAGTGACACGAAGATGAAGACCGACGGCCGAATCTAAAGACTTTTAGGTACTGTCTGTACGTTGGCACGCAAGTTCGATGGGGTTGTTGTTTTTAATAGACTAAGTTAACGAGGAGAAGACTCTCTGACTCGTATAGAACGGTTTTTAGGGCTTTAGAGCTTTGAAAAGGCTCTTGACTTTATACGGATGGTGTTTGGTATTTTTGTTGTGCTCTACACACAAGGGAAACACTGAGTGCGACTCGTGACTCGATTTAAACACGACTTAGACTCGAAACTCGAATTTGAACTCGAAAAATACGTAAACTCGTCCCGGCGGGATCACTCGTTGACTCGTTTTTTTTAAAAAAAACCGGACTCGTGTATTCACGCGCAAATTCCTAACTCGACTCTGACTCGCTAACTTGTTCACTCGACACTCGGAGACTTCCTCTTTATTTTACTGAACGACTTGTGTCGATCAGGACAAGATATATAATCGAGTCAAAGGGGTATCTGTTGATTCTTTTGCCCGGCGGGCCTATATATATGGTACAAATGTTTGACTACGAGCTTTAAAACAAAGACTAGCAAAGACTATAAAACAAACCGAATACATGCGCATGATACAGAAAATGAGAGTAGAGAGACGGAGCGGAGGTACGAGAGAATCAGAAATACGAAATAGGAAAGAAACGCGACAAAAGAAGCCCCGGCGGTGTCGTGCCGAGTATGCCCATAGGCGTCTATTGATGCGCTGTTGAAGCGCGTGAATTTTGGTAGTTCCGTCCAGTCGGAACGGAACCAATGTGTTGTGGGAAACTCCATTGTTACTCCGTGAAGATGCTTCCGCGGAAACAGATGGTATACCCTTTTTGTAACTACCGCCGGAGGGCGGCGTATGGATTCATCGTTCTGTCCCTTCTCTCTGTACTACTTCTTTTTCTGTTGACAGGTCATGGGGACTGTTAGTACCCTGTTTCATCTGTCCTAGAGAGGACACCTGTCCAACGGAATAGAACATCTCGTGTGATCCGTTCCTGGTCCCGTCGTTCTGGTTATCTTATCTCGGCTTCTATCTTATCGATCTCGTACCTAATCCGTAGAGGTCCCCTTTAGCTTTCCGCGACTGATGGCTGATTCCGACCGTCCGGCGGCGCTTATGGGCGTTTCCTCTTAGGGTACTGACAGGCGCTGGTGCTAAGTGTCGTCGTTCTTGTCAAGTCGCTACTAGCTTTCTAGTCGATTTGAAGTCGATCGTGCACTCCCATGGATAGTCTTGCTCCCGGCGGTGAGGACTTCGTGCCAAATTCTCACTACCGTAGTTCGATCTTCAATCGGTCCAGTACACATCCTTAACCCGTCAGTTACTACGGTATCAATGATGCGTTACGTTCAACCTCTTTCAGAGTCGTTCTTAGAGTTCGACTTAGTTGACGACTCTGGGCTCGGTCTCAACTCATACGACAGAATAAGTGACCGCCGGTTATGAAAAACACGGTGCCTTAGGGCTTTTCAGTCACTTATCGAGATGTACGTTTTACCGGACGAAATTAGTCCGGCGGTGTGTTATTCGCGATTTTTGAAGGGTCAGATGACCCTCAGGCGTAACACCGGGTTTGACGTTTACAATATCAAGTCCCGGACACTGGTTCGCTCCCTTCAGGTGCCCTCGCATCGTGAGCGTAATGTCCCTTTGGTCTCGTGTTTTCTCAGGGATAGGAATGTCGTTATAACGGCATCTCATGACGGGGAGGCGAGGGTCTGGCATGTAGGCAGTGGTATGCTCATGCAAAAGCTGCCAACAGCGTCGTCATGTAAGTCGTTCCCTTGGGCTTCCAGAGCTGTTGCTTAACGATCAAAATCATAGCCTCCATCCGATTTATATGCGTACGGTACAATCCGTTGGGACAACACTCTCAGGCGCTGAGTAACCCTTTCAGGCTGGTAACTTTCGTTCTCGAGGCTTCATCGCTATTGCGCCGTCCTCCAAAGATTCCGGTGTCTCTGTCTGGAAGGAGCTCTCTGGTACGTCTTCCACAGTCAGTCACTAATGAAGAATCGCGTTGACTTGTTGCAGCTCCACGGGGCGCCCTAAGCGACATTGTGGGTTCCCTCGTCCCTGGTAATTGAACAAGCATAGTAATTGACTCAACGGCAGGCATCTACGGAAGTTATCGTCGGCCTCTGTGTTGTACTTCTGTTGGCTATCGTTTGCATTCTCGTTTGGGTGAGTCGTACTCTTTATTTCATTGTCATTGAGTCTTCTGCTGAAAGTATTGAAGCACCCAGCACTTATTCCAGAGGACTGGAAGTCGCTCGCCGAAGTATTGTTCAGGTGGAAGAAAACAGCATACTCCATGGGGCTCGAGTCGGTTCGCCGCGGACGGAAACTTGGAGCGTGGATTGCACAGGTTTTGGGCATCGCCAAGCGTAATAAAAGGCGATTTATCCGTCTACCAGAGCTTTGACACCCTCATTTAATGTTTGTATTCACTCCCCTGCGTAACCCGGCCTTCCCGGTTATTTACTCACCCAACAATTAACTACCTCCGTCTCAATCACATTGTCTCAATCACATTGAAAGGGAGTGGCTCGAGTGTGATTCGAATGTGAATAACGGGGTGTGATTACCTGACCTGACGCGCTGGGCCGCATCAGCGCCACCTAGCGCATCAGCGCCACCTTGTCGGGCGCGGCGAGTCCTCGATCGCACAAGAAAAGGTTACAAATTATGATCCGTGTAATCCATCCTTTGTCGCCATATATCTGTAACAACAAACTCGGTACGTCTGTCATCCTTTTGTGCACCTTGAATGGCCAAGAAATTACACGTGGTTTGCGCATGCAATGTGCCGGGAAAGGTAGCTAATAACGTGTCATCCGGTGGGTGATTTCTTGCTATGTTGTTTGTTACGAGCAATCTCTTATATTTCATATCATTTTTTGCTACATTGTGTACGGCCATCAATAATATGTATTTTGTATCATTTCTATTGGTAAAAAATTATCAAATATATAGCGCATTTCTCGTTACAAAAAAGTAGATTTCTTGCTACAAAAAATCATCTGATGCGCCTAGTGGGAAGTGTAGCGCCACTTCGGCGAAGTTATTCAACAAAGTTGCAGTACAATATGAGGACTTGATCATGGGAGCTGCGGGAAAAGCAAAAATGCGACCTTCTCTGTGCTCGATAGGGTTCTCGGAGCTGCATGAGTGCCGTAGGAAGCTAGGAACTTGCGTCACTTACATACCCCTCGGGAAGTGAATCGAGCGCAAGGCTATCCTCAGAAAGGTAGGTTGCCAGGCGCCTTGGCAAGAGAAGCCTAGAGCAAAGAGATTACTATGTCTGATTGGCGCACGACCACTCCTCTTGACACGACGTCACTCGAGGCTGGAGGTATCGGCGTGGCCTTTGGGTGGAGGGACGTGTCGGAGGAGACAGTGCCGTGGGCAGGTATAAAAGACCCCTCCAGTCCACCCAGAACTACTCAGTACCCCCAAGCCCAAAGTCGAGCTTCTCATCCATCGCACCACTACAGCATAGTATTTGAACATCAACCCAGCCCTGAAACATGACCGGCGACATCTCCCCCGAGCTCAAGATCATCAAAAGCGTCCTTCGCCAACGCCACCTCGAGCAGTTGAAGGCGCACCCCAGGCTCGTCGCTACGCCTGTGAGAGCGGGCCCGCCGCTGTACGCTGCCAAGGACGATATCGTCCAGTGGAGCGAGGAGAGCAAGGCGCAGATCTCCCAGGGAAAGGCTAATCGTAGGTCTCTTTCCTAGTCTTTGTCCGTCGACCATTCCGTCGACGTGTACTTCTGAGTAGTCGCCCTGAGTGTTGAGGACTGACTAGATGCTTTTCCCCCTTGATATTCAGGTGTCTATGGAGGCCCGATTGGGTATGTACTCGTCGTTGGAGTCCTTGGTTGTCTTGCACGTTTGGGGGTAGTGAGCTCATTCGTTTGGCGTATATAGCTCCCCACTGGACTTGAACAATGCGTTCTTGGCCTTCATGGAGAGCGCTACCGTGTACCTCCGGTGTGTATATGCGTGTCTTTTGGGGGCTCGATAGTACTAGTATACTGATTAGCGCCGGTGCACAGGGATACTTCGAAGGTGCTGGACGCGGTGCACAAGTACCATGCTGGAGATGTCAAAGAAGCCCTGCGTCTGTTGGAAGATTCGACCAAAGCTATTGATGAGATTGTATGTGTCCGATATATGCGAGGTTCTTAGGTAGGGTTTGGGGGTCGCTCATTACTTCACCCTCGTAGGCCGCGTTGTGGGGTATGGAGTTTGTTCAGATCTGCGGTCAGTCACGAATGCTATGATTCCGTTGATGCACGCACTCCCTTGCGCAGGAGTACTTACACACCGCCCCTCATCTTTTTTATGCCTCCTTCTTTTGTTTTTACAGACTTACCCGAGGTACGCGATATTTATTTGTTCTCCGCGATACACCTTGGGTCACGGAGAATGGCTTACATTGGCTTTACTACAGCGCCACCCGGATGGACACAGCTTCATGGTGGGCCCCTACTGTGGTGCATTCTTTCCCAAAGACTTTTCTGGCCACAATCCGTTCATTGGCATTGCCTACAAGGTATGTAACAACAGCGTCATAACTTTCTCTCGGCTCGTCTCCCTGATGTACGTACCTCTCTACTTATGGTATCATTTCGCAGGGAACGAGCAATTTCGGTGAATTCGTGAACGATTTGTTGGCAGCGAGCACTGTCAAAGCGAGCGGGCGTCTCTGGGACACGGAGGTTTGCAAGGGCTTTTATTACCCACTCTTCTCGACATATACCTCGACGACCAATGCCGATGGCGCGACGTCTACGATGCCTTTTGGTGAGGTCCTACTTCCATTTTGAAGGCATGGATTCTTATGTTTCTTCTATCATTAATCCGTTGACAGTCATGGTCCAACAAGCTGTTAGGGATCTCATTACCAAGGCCACTACACATGTCATCACCCATGTCACTGTACGTATTGATCCACTCATCCGGTGTTCCGAAGCACCAGGGCAGGGCGGAAACTCATGATCATACGCGTTGGTTATATCCCCCTCTAATCACAGGGCCATTCGCTCGGCGGTGCCTATGGAACTCTCACCCACGGCCAACTGTGCATCGAAGGGTTCGGCGGAGCCGGCGCCACGGTAGGGGACCTCTACACCTTTGGTGGCCCGCGCGCTGGGCGCAGCGACTTTGCGACGCTCTTCAAGGCGAGCGTGGCGCCCCCCACTGACGAGGGCTCGACGTGGAGGATCGTCAACTACGAGGATTATGTCCCCAAAGTCCCCGCGTCAAAGCCCCTGATCCCTGTCAGCAACCCGTTTATTCACGTTGATGCCGGGGTTATGGTATACAAGGACAAGTTCCCGGTGAGTCTGCCCACTGAGCTGGGCACGAGGCCGACTTGGAGCGTTCCTACTGCGATTACACCGCATTGTAAGTCTTTTTCTTTGGTTGGAATGAATGTGTGATGTGGGGGTATGTGCTGACGGGATCTACTATGTGTTTGTGAAGATACGACGGAGTATTACAAGTCGCTTGTCTTTGCCACGACTGGCAAACCCCCTCGCAAGGCGATTTTAGCGAGGCCAACGCACTCTACTGGTCTCTCGACCTATAACATGGCCAGGGTGAAGGATACACTGGACACCGACACCCTCAAGCTCCTCACAGGCGCTGAAGTCTCCTTCGAGCCTGCCCACGGTGGGTTCGTTGTCGGCAAGATCCGATACAAACACTTCCTGGGCGAGATCACTGCCTTGGGGAGCCTTCCTGAGGTATCGGAGAACCCTCAGTTCTTCTGCAGCTCCTTGGAAGCGCTGTATGGAAAGGAGACTCATGCGGTCTTCTCGGTCAAGGATGGGAAGACGGTGGAGGTTCGCTTCGTCGTGGACGATCGAGAGGTTGCTGTTGCGCGGGCTTCGGCGTGCCAGGACGTTGGAGAAGCGCCCATTCGAGGCGTTGGAAATTGGACGTAAGTTGATTTGCTCTCTTTCTCTCCCTTGGGGTGGAATTCCATGCTGATTTGGGGAATAGGTTCTATGATGATGGAACCCTCGCCGCGTTGGAGGAGAACATGGCCCAATGTGCAGCGGGCGTGTTCCAGAAGGTCTGATGAAAGCGGACTGGTCTCTCATCTTCTTGCAATTTTGGACCTTTTGTCGAACTATCGTTGACCCCTCTGTATTAAACCTTTCCCGAGATTCAATATGGACTTCAATTTACGTTGTGCTTGGCTCAGAGATAGGGGCGGTACTTCCATTCTTGATCATCATCGAAGCAACATCGCAGATACACCCGCTAGCCCGTTTTCAGTGACACATACGACGGAATACAAGTCTATACAAGCGCTGACTCAGAAATGTAGTCAAGACAAGGGCGAGAAGAGGCCAAGGTGTCGGCGATAAGATAATTGACCGTGTCATTAGGGGTGAGAGTCGCCCGAGTTCCGCGCGTCGCTTGTTCTTTCAATCACACCACCACAACTTCGCTTTCCCCCTCGCCTGGGCCACTTTTCTCTTTCATCGGTGGCTACAACTTGGGATATCGTGATGGAAGAGCCTCAATCGCCCGGAGGATCAGTGCTAGGGGCTACAAATGGACGCCTGGCCCAATCAGATTCAGAAATGGTCACCACCGCTACCAACGACGTTCTCAATGTATATCGCGATTCTGGCGCAGGGTCGTCGTCGTCCAAGGCAATTCCGAACGGGAAAGAAGCCACAGCCGCCTCACCGCCGTCCATCTCGCTCATAACGCCCTCGACATCCTCATCACCAATCCAAGCACAGCCCGCACACACCGCAACCGCCCAAACACAACTCTCAGCCTCAGCCCGCTTCCACAGTATTCCGGACATCCTAGCCGATATCTGCGAATACCTGGCATGTGAAGAAGACTTTGACGAGATGGAGAGGGAGATCCCAGAGGAGTTGTGGATGAGCAGGAGGAATTTGGCCAATTTGGCGAGGACGTGTAAAGCGTATCTGGAACCTGCGTTGGATCGGTTGTGGAGGGCGCTAAATACGCTGTATCCTCTGTTTAATGTGTTGCCGGCATTTCACAAAGCTGCGGGGACCCATGTGAGTGTCGATCTCTTACTTTCACCCTTTCTTTCTTTCGACTTGGGATATGGCAAAGGCCTCGTGTTTAATCGACCGCGCTGAGGATCGCGTATGGTCCTCGAACATAGAGAAACTCCTTGAATATCCGGATTAAACCCATGCTGAGGAGGAGCACCCCCTTTATTTCCTTCCTCATGGATACCAATCTCCGGCAAACCGGTCTTCACTTTCTTTGGTCGACGCGGCTATCGTTACAGCTTACTGACTCACTAGCTTATCTTTCCAGGTCCTGAGAGGTACGCCTACACCTGCAGAGTGGGCCCGTTTCGACTGGTACGCCCGGCGAGTGAAGCGGTTTTGCTACACCCGCGACCCAGCCCACCTCGACATCGCGATGCACGTCTACTTCCGCATGGCTCAGCTACGCTCGACACCATTACTTCCTTGTCTCCGCCACCTCTACTGTCCCAACATCAGCCAAAGCGAATTCCTCATTTCAGGCGTCTGTCTGTTCTTGTCACCGTCGCTTCAGTCACTCGAATTCGCCAAGATCACGCATATCGAAGACAAATTGTCTGGAACATTCTTGCACACGCTGTATGAAGACGGGGCTAACCTGGAGAGTGTGGTGTTCAAGGGAGAAGGATTGTCAGACGGGACGCTGGACCTGATTCTGCCGTTCGAGGGATTGCGGATGTTGGAATTGGACGGGATGGGCCCAGTGATTACCCTAGAGTGGTTGAAGGAGCTGGGGAAGAAACCGAAACTGGAAGAGCTGGCACTCGACTTTACAAACTCCAGCGTAGAAGCGTTGCAGAAAGACATCGGTTTCGCAAATCTTAAATCGCTGATGCTAACAGCACCCATATCCTTCACCCGCGCCTTCATCCCCAACATCTCCTCCCAGTCTCTGGAAACGGTTGTGGCCGTCTCGACGCGCGACTCGTCCACCGAACGCTCAGCATTCATTTCTGAAATCGTCGACCGGTATTCCTCGACACTACGCAGCTTCGGGCTGGTGCATGTCCAGAACACCGACGACCCACCGGAAGAACTCGAGCTCTCCAACCTCTCGCGGTTGCTGCCCCTCCGGAACCTAGAGGAGTTCCGGTTGGAAGGGTACAGCATGAACCTGACCGACGAGAACGTGACCATCCTCGCGCTCGCTTGGCCCAACATCACGAAACTCTTACTTCCGTTTATTGGACCGGAGAAGGTGCGGCCTACCTATGCGTCGTTGGTGAATCTTAGGGATCTGTGCCCGCGCTTGGAGCATGTGAGGATACCGCTGGAGATTATGGGTATCCCACCGTTTGTGTACCCGAGGCCTGCGCTCCCGCCGTTCTTGATTGCGAGTAACGTGGTGGAAGCGGAGGAGGAGGAAGAGGAGGGACCGGACTCGCCGGTATCGTCGTCCTTGTCGTCGCCTTCGTCCGAATCCATGCCGACGCCTACGACCTCCGAGTTCCCACTCCCACCAACCCAACCGCCCTCCCTCCCAACAGTCTCCTCCTCCTCCCTATCCTCCTCTGCATCTTCATCGTCATCATCAACGCCGTACACCCTGCATCATCACCACAACCACCACCACAGGCACCACAACCGCTACCGTCCACCACACCCCCTCCAGCGTCTAACCATCTCCACCACCGACGACCACGAGACGGTCGAAGAGCGCCTGGGGGATATGAGGAACCTGACGCATTTGGCGCGGCATGTGGATTATTTGTTTCCGCGGGTGAGGCATGTGGGGGCGTTTGGGAGGCAGGATGAGGAGCGGTGGGTGCATGTAGGGGAGATGGTGGCGGCGTTTCAGGGTGTGAGGGCGGAGACGAGGGAGGGGCTTTTGGTTGGTGGGTGGTGAGAGGGTGAGAGGGGGAGGGGTGAGACCGTGGTGAGCGTGGTGAGCTGGGTGGGAGTGAGAGGGGTGGGTTTGGGCAAAAGGGAGGAGTGAAGAGGGAACGACGTGGGTTGGTTGGTTAAGTAAGGCTGAGGCGTATACCGGGGGTTGGGTGGATTAAACCTCCCTCTGGGTAGACAGATGTGTCTCAACGAAAAGTCGAAAGGTATCTTACATTTATGGATGTAGCTATATGTCGTTGTATGTATTTTGTATTTGTACTAGTAGTACCTCTCTTGCCTTTTTCTTTCTTTTGACGTCTCCTGGACAGTTGTCGGCTTTCACTGGCCACCCCGGACGGATGGATAGCATTGCACCAAGGCGGAATTTTCGAATTTCAGTCATGGACGGATGGTGGAAGGAGAGAAGAATACGCGGAATTTCGCTCTTGTCATCGCAACGAAAAACATTTTTTTTTTCTTTACGGCCCCTGTGTTGTTCTTGAAAAGTGGTATAGAGATACTTTGGCTTACATGGGTTCAGTGAAATCACTGAGAAGAACGATCTAATTATACCCTAGAATATATAATCGATCCTATCCCAAAAGTAAAAACCCCAGTCTCGAAGTTTGGAAAACATTTACTACGACCTGACACAAAAAGCGTTAACGCAGACTGTAGTCCGGGAATACTTAGACTCGACACAGACGAGGACGAACCACACAGTCGGATCTTTAAATAACACAAACGCGTCGCTCACTGCCACTGCTCAGTTGAACGTATCCCTATACCTATTCGCACTAGTAGGGCTGCCCTTTCGCGCGCTGAAGGTGTAGGTAGGATCCTCCTCGTGTCCTTTGAGGACGAACGGCTCGGGGTTGATGCGCTGGCGTGGTCCACTGCTGTACGTAGTCTTGGGAGGGGGCGCTTTGAAGGGGTGGGCTTCGGTGTTGAATACCCCTGTTAAATTCAAATAACAATGTCAGGACATGATATGTGAGAATTGGAAGGGATGGGAAGGAAGTCCTGGACGTACATTCGTCTACGCTGATGTGCGTGGGGTCGTCGAATGTGAGGTACCTATTCGTAGATGGGGGCGTTAGTTTGGTGTTTGAGGCGAGGATGAAAGGTAGTTCCGTGTGTGTTCTCGATGAAATACCGAGGTATGTCAAATCGAGAAGAGAAGGGAAGGGAAGTTTGGATGGACGGAAGGGAAGGAAAGGGGGAAGCGCCGAAGAGGGCTAAGAGAAACTTGGTACATCCCCCAAGCCAGTCCAATCCGATCGTTCTCTCACCACACAGGAACACATTTCAAGGAACCAAGCAACAAAGAAACAAAAAGACCACTCACAAATACTTCAACGTCTCCGCATACCAAAAACTCTCCGTATAATCATACCTCGGCCCAAACAACTGATTCACATCCGTAATGCCGGTATACCCACCACTCTCCACCCTCAAATACTTGTTAAACGCCTCAACAGCATGCACAGCGCGATCGAGGTACTTGGTGTCCCCCGTTGCGCGCCAGGCGTAAAAGTTGGATTCGAGGACCTCGGGGCGGAGGATGTACCCGGCGGTGCGCGGGTAGAACCCGGTGCGGTTGTAGAGGGAGAGTTGGGACTCGGTGATGGGCCCGTCGCCGTTGTAGTCGCCTTCGTCGGAGATGTAGCCGAAGGATTCTGGGCCGATGCCGGTTCTGGGAGGTGGTGGGTGTTAGAAGTGGGTTTTATGTAGGGGTGAAGGGAGGGGGAGGCCGAGAGGAGGAGGAAGAGAGTGTTGTGATCCGAGAATGGAACGAAGTTGCTCATTGACCGAAGAACTTGGAAGGGAGAGGAAGTAAAAGAAAGTAGGGAAGAAGAAACGCACTGTGTTCCGTTGTAGGTATTCCAGCACCCCTCAACGAGGTCAAGCCCATAATTCACAATCGTCTCATTATTAATGAGTCGTCCACCTATCCAAACCCACCAATGCACATCAGCCCTTCTCTCCACAATCAAGCGATGACATCAACTACTGAAGAACGCACCGTAAATCCAGTTCCCACCATGGAAACAAGCCAAATGCGATCCAATATTCCTAACCTGCCTGTTCGAATCGTAGTCCGCCAAATACGTAAAGTTGCCCACAGTCGAGCGCTTCATCAGATACTTGATGGAGGAGTCGACGGCGGTCGCCCAGACGTCGGCGAAGAGCAGGTCGTTGGTGTTGGAGAGCCGGGGGTACTTGATGAGGTATTCGTAGAAGCTGTCGCCTGCGCCGCCCCATGTCTAAGCAGTGGTAGCAGTAGTAGTAGTAAGAATGAGGTCAAAGGTGGGATAGAGGAGGAGGACACGCACGATGTATCCGCCGATCCATTCGCCCCTGTCGGGGTCTATCCAGATCGGCGCCAGGCCTGGAAGAGGAGAAGGCTGTGCAGTCGTCGCAATGAATGTCTTCTAAGCAACTAACGGGAATAAAAATATCACGCACGAGGCTTGCCATGTGTCGCTGTGCCCTGAGCGTCAGTTCCTCGTAGGTACTGTTGCCCGTGTACTTGGAGAGGGTGGACCATTCCAACAAGAGCTAACCGACCAACATCAACAGTCAGAAAGACACTTAGAATCCTAGTGAAGGAACACGAACAGTTCCTGCCTCTGCGATATTCGTCTACGATCCAGAAAATCAGTTGGAAACACGTTAGAAGACAGTTAAGCGCCCATCAACGCACCCGATCAATAAATGGCTCGTTGGTCGTAAAGTTCAAGAATCCGTGGGGGATGTTGTTATTCTATCAATAGAAGTACGCGAGTGTCCTTCAGTACTCCTTCATCACCTTCAAAGAATAAACAAAAATACGTACCCCGACCCACGCATAAGCCATCTTATCCGTCAGCTGCGTCGCCTTCTCCAAAAGGCCCGGATGCTTTCCCTCGCTCAGCTCGTAAGCGCTGAGCAAACCTCCCAAGAACCGGATCGTCGTTTCGAAGACGCTGTAAGTATCATTGGTGTCGTGTCAGTTACGGTGGCAGTCATGCGCATGCGGTGGATGGATGCCAGAATATACACCGATGTTAGGCAAAGAAATGTCAAGTCAAGGGTAAACAGTAAAAGCAGTCGGGTCGGTCGATGCGGTGTTTAACGCTTAGCCCTCTTCGGAGAACGACCCTTCGGAGAACGACCCCCTTCGGATGACTATGGTACTTTTAGGGGACCAGAAGGGTGAAACTCGATTCCAAGGACGCATTCGGAAAAACCGAGGAACGAAAAAAGTTCAAGAGTTCGAGAATGGCTTGGGGTTGTAACTCACCTAACTTTATCCGTCCTAATCTTCGATTCGCTGAAATCGATGTTCTGGGAGTATTCGACGCCTTCGAGGAAGAGATCTTCCAGGCCCATGATGTACTATAGCGTTTATGAAAATATAGAGTTAGTTGTGTATGTTGTGGGGAAGGTGAGAGGTGAGGCTGACCATGGTTGAGAGCGAGTCGACGATAGTTGCACCTAGGGGTTCAAGGAATGTGAGCAGTCGCGTCTGTAGGAGGGAGATTGTAGGGAGAGCGCACCCCATCCGTTCCTCGTGTTTCCTCCACCTGTTCAGCACGTCCATGTCAGCATCCAGCGACATAACAGGTCGAAACCGAAGCCTACCTCTCTTCAAAGGGTATACTTCATCCTCTCCCCACGCATACTTCCTACAATCACAAATGTCAGTTCCGCTCCAACAAAACGCTCACCAAAAGCAAAAGCCGTTTGGGAATTGAGAACGACCAGAGCGGGTACTCACTTGTAAGCACCGTAACTGTCCTCAAACATCTTCACGACTACATCTCGATACGGGCGGTACGCGGGTGGCACGACGAGGTCGGGTTTCTGGACTAGACCTCCTAACGCCGTATAGGCGTTTCCGAGCAGGGCGAACGGGACGATGAGGCGTCGGCCCAAGACCATGGTTGCGGTCTAATCGTTGGCGTTGAGAACTCGGTGTCCTGGTACGAGCTCGGTTCTCTGCTGCGAACGCAGAGAAAAGATAAGAGAAGATGGGATAGGGAAGGGACCTGTAGATACGACCCTCGCGGTCGGATCTGCTGTCTGTCTGTTCACTTTAATAAGAAAAAAGGAGCTTTCAGCTTCTTTATATTGCTATGAGAGCGGAGAAGCCGAGATGGGCATACCGTATAGTACATAGAAGCGACGACGTACCGTCAACGAATGCCAACTAGGGCTTCTTCTTGGCGAGTTCTTTCTAGTTCAGCATCCCGAGGGGTAATAAGTATCGACACATGCTCAACGCTCAACTTCCAAGCACACATGGCTTGCTGAATATTCTAAGCCCTGTTGGGTAGATTGCTTCTTCGCCTGGGTAATGAGTTTCTATAGAGTTCAAATTTAAATTTGATCCTTGAAGGGAGGTATGCAATAAAATTCGTGGTTCCTTCCGAAGTGGACTTCGCGTTGTGCCGGATCGCTCAGTCGATTCCTGCTGACTGGTGACCCTCTGCGTGGCTTGGAGGAAGGTTGACTTCGAGTAGCGTGACCTAGAGGATATGCTTCTTTTTTTGATGCGTGATGTGCGATAAGTCGTGATGTCTTGAGCGAACTCTGCGAACCAGTCCTTCACTGGCACAGAGTATCCTATGTTCTTATGATTAGAGTCACTGGCACGGTAAGACGTCAATTGCAGCCAAGCTCACCTCTCGACATGCACTTGAAGCAACTAGTACTAAATCCAAGGGATCCAGAGCAACTCCAGGTCTCCGAGTCTATACACAGTGTGTACAACACAAACCCTAACGGCAAGCCAAAGGTTCTCTCATATGGAGCGAAGTCTCGAAGTTCTGAACAGCATATGACACGTTAGCGGCATGTCACACCGTTGAAATCATAAATGCCACCACCCCACTGAATTACTTACTGAACATGGTATTCAAAGAACCCGAACTGTAATCGATATATTAGTTTAGAACGAGGTTTATTGTTGGAGCGTCAATACCTATACATACCTAAGTATATATAAGTATCAGGTTGGGTGCCACACCTGTCAGAGATTTCGACAGACGCCGCCTGTCTTCGCCGTCGGCTTATGTTTTCTTTTGTTGGTCGTAGTTGGGAGAGTGGGTTGTGGTCATCGTGGGGTTGGAGCCCGATGAGGGAAGAAGATCATGAAGTTTGGTAGGGCGTGATAAAGCGGAGTGGGTCTTGCTTTCCGGAAGGCTTGTCGAATAGGTCATAAGGTCAATCCAGTCCCGGTGAGCAGGGTAGCCGGCGAGGTCGAAGAACAGGCAGAATGAGCGAGAGTTCTTGAGCACACTGTAGGCGTGATCACTATATCCAGAGTTTGTAAAGTCTTTCTTCGCAGAAATCCAAGACGCTTCCAGAGGCAAGGCGACAATTCGGGCCAAGGGGATCCAACCTAAACATAGGTAAGTATTCCGTTTCACACCTGAGCGTAAAGATAGTGGAACGACCCCGGTGAATCAGAAGTACCAGAACCCTCGATGTGTCCGCTGCTCCTTCTCGCGGCGGGAGAGACACGAGTTCCAAGACCCCTCGAGGAAGAGAAAGAACCCGATTCGTGGAGCTTGGGAGAAGTCCTACTTGTCATCGTATGTTGACGAGCTGCATCGTTATCATCTCAGGTCAGCCAGCCAGAGAAGCCGCAGCTTGTAAACAGATCTCCTTCGTAAGACTGAAAAAACCCGACGTCTCCAGACGCATAGAGCCGCGCGCCCCCAAGCATTCCGGTGGTGAACTGTCCTTGGAATCAATCACTGAGACGCCAAGTCAGTAGTTGACTACACAAGGCCTTCGAGGGTTATATTCGGATTCCCGGATTTCAGCCGGTGACTTGGGACGGCAAGTCCAATGTTCTGCCCCCTTTCAAGTTGCGTGTCGACTTCAACTTGCTGGCAACAGCGTCGTCCCAACGATGCAACAACCGTCATGATAAATACTTATCGTAGGTCCCCGCTGTGCTTCTAGAAGTCCAAGCTGAGAAAGATGGCAGAGTGAGGTGCACACTGCACACCCTCAGTGAAGTTGATAGAGAGCAATTGCAAGGTCCAGGATCTAATCTATTATCTAATCTATCTCGTCACCGCCGCTCATCGCCGAGCGGACACCGAATTCCTTCGCGCCGATTGGTTCACGTTTGTGCCGAATGCAGTGATGGCAATCGTCAAACCTTATCAAACCCACTCACATGACCGCGCGATCAATCCATCAATCCCAAACTCGACGGAGATAATTCCCCTGCCCATGCCCCCCTCAATTCAGATTTCCTCGCCTTCCCTCCCGTCTCCCCTCTTTTTTCTCGTTCCTTATCTTTTCACAGTCCTCAACTCCATATACGACTAAAGAAAGGAGACTACGCGATAATTGTCTTCTTCTCTAGAAGGCAGAACTAGAACACAGCGACGACAACGACTTGAGGAAAAGGAGGGCTAGAGCTAGATTTTGTGGACAGGGCTGAAGCCAGGACGAAGACGAAAAAAATAGTTCATGGTTGCCCAGCAATGGAAGATTTATGCGCCCCTACGTATGTCTTTTTTATCCTCTCCTCCTCTCGTCCACGATCTGCAAATGCAACTCGGGTGTGCTCGTCTGAGCCGCTCGGGCTCTTCTTACCCTTTCTATCACTGCTGCGCTCGACAATATGCACTGTGCCCATCCTCTCACAAACACCCTCACTCACACCCCACCCTTGCCATCTCACATACATATACCTGGGGTACTGACCACCTTCGAATATGTATTGTTTGAAACAAATAGGTTGGAGGCGCTCGACGAATTCCTATCGAGACAAAAAGCTCTTCTTGCGCGCACGCAGTCTGATATTGAGAGACTGCGCCAGTTGAAGAAGGAGGTTGTGGAGGATCCGGAGGGGTTTGTTGGGAATGTTGGGGAACGGGTGAGTTCTACTAGTCTATTCTACTAGTCTTTTCTTTCTTTTTTGGGGGTTGGTGGATGGTGTTTTGGTGGAGGATGGAAGTCATGGGAGGCACTGTCTTTTACCGTTCATCGTCGTTCGCGTGTTCAATCCTTCGTTTCGTTTTATCTATTGTTTTGGGTTATAGATTCGGTACAAGGGTACTAATAAGTCCTCTTTTCCAGCTCAATGACCGAGCATTTCGCATAAGCGAGCAAACGGATTACGCTCTTCATTTTCCTAAACCTATCCAATGGGAAGTTTTCCAAGGCATCGGTATGTGCGCTTTGCCTATCCTCAGACATCCCAGCACTAACCAGGCATACCGCTACGGATATCACTACCTCTCTGTCGCGTGCACCGAACGACCGAACGCCGCCACAACCCCAGACCCAACGCCCCTCCGCGACCTCCACACCCAACTAACCCAAACCACCCTCCACCGCGCACGCCCGCAAAAATCCCAACGCGCTCCTCTCTCCGAGCTCCAATCCCTCGTCAAAACAGCGCGCAAAGCCATCGTCGACCCCGTATTCGAAGAATGGGGTGAAGTCTCCGAACCCGAATGCGACGCCCCCGGCGGTCCCAACTCTACCTCTGCTTCTTCCAATTTGTCGGATGCGGAAGCGATGAGGAGGCATGCAGAGGCGATGAGAAGGCAGAGGGAGCAGGAGAAGATTAGGGAGTTGAAGAAGAGGCAGATTCGTGGTGGGTATGGATATGGGTATGGTGGTGGCGGTGGGGTGAGAGGAGGCTTGTCGTTGCCTACGACGTCGATGATGGGGCTTGCTGGGCAGGGGTGGGCGGGGAAGGGCACGGAGGGTGTGTTCATTCGAAGGGATGTGGAAGATGAGAGTTTGGAGGTGGTTGATATTTCTGATGAGGGGGATCCTCCGCCGGTGGTGGGCGGGGATGCGGGAGGTGGGAAGCGGCTGTGGGCTGGGAAGGGCGCTGGGAAGGGGATGGGCAAGGGCAAACATTGTTATGCTGCCCCACCGACAGATGGCACTGCTGATGCCGCGGAGGACGATGAAGAAGGCATGGATCTTGAAGTCGACGGCGATAACGACCACCACGCCGGTTACGCCAATGGAGATGTGGACGCCTCGCCGTACCCTGTTCCTCCAGCTCCACCAGATCCTACCCCCGACAACTCTTACTACGACTACGAGCAACCCAAATCTTCGCGAACGCGAAGGTCGACGAGGTGTGCTGCTGCTGCTGCTGCTACAACCCCCAAGCAGAAGACGAAAGCGAAGAGGGGAAGGCCGCCTAAACGCAAGGTGGATGACGACGACGCGGAGTACGGTGGAGGGTACGCAGATCCAGGCGAAGGTGATGTCGACGAGGATGTCGATATGGATCTGGACATCGACGTCTATTGCGGGGGAGGAGGAGGGGGAGGGAAGACTATCTCGCCTATATCCAGCCGGACTGGATCCACCCAATCCTCCAAATCCATATCCAAATCCAAAACCCAATCCAACTCCACATCAACTTCCACTACAAACGGCCAACCCAAAAAACCCAAACGCGATAAACCCAAACCCGAGACGTACAAACAAGCCTGGAGTGTGGAGGAGCAGCATCTGCTTGAGCGGTTGCTTGAGGAGATACCGGATGGTGAGAAGTTTAGGTGGCAGAAGATTTCGAGGGCGATGGGTGGGAGGAGGACGCCCCGACAGGTTGCGAGTCGGGTGCAGAAGTATTTTGAAAAGTTGAAGAGGTTTGGGGTTGAGCCTGGTTAGGTTTTTTAAGAACTTTGTATACGTAGATGGGTCGTGTACGATGTATGAGTGCTAAAGAGAAGCGAAAGAGAGAGATGAATATTGTTTACTCGTTGTTTTCTTCCCAGTTTTCGGCGGTTGCCCAATATTCAATGCCCAGCGTCGGGAAAACTTGCCCCTGGAGAGGACCACATCTCGACAGGGGCTTGATCACCAACGATATTGATTTTTCTCATCTCCCACCTGCGGGATGTTCACATCGGAAAAACACGACAATTAATAGGTCCTGTGGGAGTGCTAGGCGTACACGAACAAGGGCCATGGTACACAAACGAGAAGGGGCCACGTATACCTAGTCGACCTTGTGACCTGAATTCCATACGGTAAATGGCGGTACGTGTCTGAGATCAAAAAGTTGTGCTGGGCCCGGTTGTCGTGGCTGGAAACTGGGTTGTTACACACCGCCATCACCACAACCTCCACCACAACCAACCGTCCTTCTGAATCTCTACGACTTTGCTCGACGGGAGACAGAGACTTTGACTTCGACTTCGATTCTTGGAACGCTAAGAAGAAGATCCCTTTTATCGTTGAAGAAAGGAAGAGAAGACCTTGATTGAAGATGTCGACGGAAATCAAGAGTATCCCGCCTGTTATTGGGCCTGATGGAAAACCCCAGCATTTCGATCCTAATACCGCTCAGAATCTCATCGAGGTGTGTAGCACTACCTACCCCCTCTTTGAAGGGTGGAGATTGCGATGACGAGCGAGCGGGATTTCTAACTGATATGACATTCCCCTGTTCGGTGTTGGGCGTTTGGTGGATGGATGGTTCTGTGTAGATTGAGAAACAGTGCGTATTTTCTTGCTTTTTGTGTGGTGTGTGTGTGAGAGAGAGAGGGAGAAGGAATGGTTGTGTTGACTGATAGATATTCTTTTGGTTTCCTTTTTTCTTTTATGGGTTTTCCTTGGTGACGACGACGACGACGACGACGCGATTGCGATGAACGCGACAACCTGTGCGAACGCTGAAACTCGGACCTACATCGATATCTAATCGACTTGGGCGATAATCTTCTCGCCGACCAAATCGACCTGACGAATCTGGGATGGAACGATACCGTAACCATACCTCATGCTGGACTGGCCGACTCTCGATTTGTGGCGCCATGTTTACCTGGCTCGCTCGCTTGGGTCGTGAACCCTGATTAGATTCGCTGTGAAAGCTGTTGAACAGGCTCAGGTATGTAGCGTTTCTTTGTTTTGGGAGCCTGGTTTTCGGAAGGTACTGACGATCCCCGGTTTTGATTTTTTGGTGTACAGACCTACTGGAACCTCCTTGAAAAAGTCCCTCCTAGGGAGTTGAGGTTGACCAAGTACGTTTTCTTTTTCTCTGTTCTGCGTCCTCCTTCTCGAATTTCCATTTCTGACTGGCACCCTGCCACCTCCCTCTAGACTGGACGATGAGATCTTCGACGATTTGATGAAGACCTTCCCCGAACTCGCCGAACCACCACACACCAAGCTCATCAAGATCGACGAGGAGTGGATGAAGAACTCGCAGGGCAAGAAGAAGTGGAGAGAGTTCTGCGAACGGTGAGCTTCCTTTCTTGCTCTGCGTTGTCTAGGCATTTTGGGTTTGAGGGCTAAGACGGGTTGCTGACGGTGTGCTGGTGGTTTCAGATACAAGGACCGAGTCAAGGATTACAACTTTGGATCCCTCATTCGTACGGATGCTGAAGACGAGTATGGAGAGAGGAACACTATCTTTGGTATGTAAACTTGTTATCCTTTTACCGCACGAGTACCGAACTCACGGAACCCCGCAGTTACACGGATACAGGTACGATTTTCCAACCCCGGCTAGCCAACGCGAATTCAACTGACCATTAACACCCTCCACACCATCTATCTGGAACCTCTCGCCGTCTATCTGCAACCTCTCACCCTCAATCTACAACCTCTCACCATCTCTCTGCACTCCCTTACCGTCTACGTTCAACCTCTTGTAGTTCTACGGATTCGAAATCGCGAGGAACCGTCTAGGACTCAACGACAAAGCGCACGAGCTTGCCAAGGAGGAAGCTGCGAAGGAGAAGGCTAGGAAGGAGAAATTGGAGAAGGAGAAGGCTAAGGAGAAGAAGGGCAAGCGCTAGTTCGGCGGCCTCCCCGCAGGTCATCGATCATCACTGAGGGCGTCTATGTACTTGGCGTGGATCGGGAGTGAACCAAGCTTGAATTGTATTGTAGGAGGGATGGTGGGAGGTGGGGAGTGAGTGCTAAGTATATTGGAATTGGAGTTGGATTGGTGGTGATGTCGTTGCCTATTCTTTGTGTAAAAATGGATGGATCGTTTCTTTTTTTTAATTTTTTCTTCTCCAAGCTTGTGTGAGGCTGATGTTTACTCTCGTCTGGAAGCCTTTTTTTGCTAGGAGATGGAGATACAAGCGTCAGACGTCGGACGTCGATGCCGTGACGTCCTTTTACACTTGCGACTTGTGCTGATTTCGCGTGACATAGCAAATCGAATGGTCCGTGACTGACCTCTGGGTCTCGTTTCTTGAACGAGATATGATATGTTCACACGTCAATGTGAATGCAACTGAAAACAGGTATGGCATACAAATTTAGGACGGGGAGACTGACGCATACTCATCCCCTACTACACACATAGGAAAACTCAGCCAGAGACTTGGTGGCAATCCCCCGTTTCTACTGAGCAATCGTCCCATTGCACCGTGACGGGCTCGTCGACCGAGTGCACGGACGTCTCTTCACACTGAAGCTCCTGGTCTCCCTCTCCAGCCTCCGTGATCGTCTCTTTGTCTGTCTGAACGGAAGCATCTTCCAATCGGGCATCACGAGCTACGAGTCCATCTGGTATCGAATGAAGGTCAGCCTCCGCATCCGTTTGAACAGAGACCTCCTTGGGAAGGCTGTGCCCTTCTCGCAATGTTACTTCATCTCTCTCCGTTTGCACAGATGCTTCTTCGACTCTTCCTCCTCCTCGAGCTTGCCGGCCTGGCTGTACTGGTGGAACTAGGACTCGTATGTCCTTTGACCGTTTCGCCTGAGCCAATGCAGTAGCAGCTCCCTTTTCCTGTGCCTCTCCGAGAGCCAAGGTAAGCTCCCGCAGGGCCTCGAAGACTTCCACCGATCCCATACCCCGTCCCGCTGCATCCCGGTAGCCTCCCAGCTTATCCAACCTTGGAAATAGTCGATGAAGGTACTTGGACATGGAGATTAGGTCGGTGATTCCGAATGTCTGGTTCCCTCCTGCGTCGCTGATTTGCAAGGATCGGAGAGGGTGGATGCGGTTAAGTTCTTCGACTTCAGCGCCGCGGCTGGCTAGAGCATTGTGGAAGTGGTTTGGAGTTGGGCGGTGTAGCTGGAGGCATATTCGGAGGTTGAGGAGGTGAGGGCAGCCTTTGGCGAGGAGGGCTAGGCATGTTAGGCTTGGTTTGGCGTCGTCGGGGTCAGAGTTGGAAGCGGGGAGGGTGAGTGAGAGGAGGTTGGGGCATCTCTCCGCGACGATCGTGAGGAAGCTCTTGGTGTTGGACGTCGTGCACATCTCGAAGTGGAGGTGCTGGAGATGGAGGGGCGGGGTGATTCCTAGGTTCGAGGATGGGGATTCCGATGCGGTGAACAACTCCTCGGATACAAAGTCGAACTTTGACGCGTCACTCTGGGTGACTCTGAAGGTGCGGAGGTCGGGATAGCCGCGCATCCCAATCTGCCGTCGGATTCGTTCCTTAAAGTGCGTTGCATCATTTTTGTGGAGTGAGGAGCCTGCGTTGAATTGGATGTGGATGTGCTGGATACGAGGGGCAACGATTCGTGCCAGGGCTTTAAGGACGGCTAGAAGTGTGCTCCCGGAAATTTCGAGCTTGGATAAGGAAGGGAAGGTATACCGTGGGTTCTTGGTGTCGAGGTTTCGTTTTCCTCCTTTGTGCTCGGAAATCCGCAACGACAAGTGGCGAAGGCTTTTCATGGAAGGAAGGGGTCTCAATACTGCAGCTTGCAGCGGCCATGCCCCAGGGAAGTCCAGCGAGAGCCGGGACAGCGCCGAGAAGAGGGTGATTTGGCGGATAAGCGAAAGTAGCAGGGCTTCTGTGCCGTTTCCTTCCAGCTCGAGCTCCTCTAATTGTGAATGCCGATGCGTGAGTACGAGGAGTAACTGTCGAAGGAAGGTGAACGACTCGGGTATAATCTTGACAACCTTTACTTTGAGCAGGTTTCTCGAGGCGGTGGCGATGAATAAGGCTGACGCGTAGTCGGTCTTCGTAGAGCATTGTACTGTCATGGCGGTGAGCGACGGGACAGGGATGCCCAGGCCTGGAAGGTATGAAGATTGATACATGGATAGCGTCTGGTATACCAGGGAGGAGATGACTTCATCTTGTGCTGTAAAAGTAATTGATTCGACGCGTTTTGCATAGAATCCAACTCTTTCCCAATGTCCTTCTGTCGCATTTACACTGGTAAGAAGCTAAGGGGAAAGGTCAGCCGCTAACTCTATGCAGATGTTCCGAGTTAGAGGACATACGTATTCACCGTCGACTTTGCAGAACCCTGGGATCAGTTTCAGCAGTGGCAAGAGATTTGGTATGTTCTTCCAGATGACATTGAGCGCCGCTTCAAGAAAACCCTTGTGGGTCAGAGCGATAGGCAGGAACTGCTGGTTGACGGAAGGTCGCTCAGGCTGATGCTGATTATCAGCCTCTCTCTGCTCGAGAGCCACGAAGTGAAAGATGATACGGAGGAGATCGTCGTTTCGCAGTACCTGGTCCCGTGGATTAGGAGTGAGGATGGCCTCGGATGACATGGTGTCGATGTGGAAAGATGGAAAGAGAAGGCCTAGGACGGTACGATCAAGGGATATGAGCACCCAGGGCCGCCAAGGCTCCTGTCATCGATAGGAGGACAAACCAAAGACACACGTGCAGGCACCTCGAGTTAAGCGCCCATTGCTTACCTAATACTTATCACCATCCATCTGGGCGCTCAAACGTTCTTGATCTCAAACCAAGTTCATCGATCAAGAAGTACGCTCAAATTTTCTCCAGTTATTCATAGAACGAGAACTGATTGCTTTTAAAGAATCTTGGGAACCATCCAAGGCGAAACGGCGAAACAATCCAATATCCGCCGCTTGTAGCACTCTCATCGCAGCATCGATAATGATCGGTTCATCATCCCACCATGGTCACCCTAGCCCAATGGAACAAGTATTTCAAAATCAAGAGCTTGTTAACATGGTTGTAAAGCTCCATGCAATCCATCTGGAAAGCCCGAAGAGCGCTTCGCCAGAGTCTTTTTGGCGCGAAAGTCGACCAACACTGCATTCGTTACTCGTAGTGTCGAAGAATTTCTGTGAAGCGACAGCCGACTATCTCTGGAGAGAGCTAGACGGATTAACACCGCTTTTGAGGTTGATCCCACAGCTCATCTATACAGATGGACTCTATGTATGTGGTTTATGTTCGACCCGTTCGGCTGACGTCGACTGATAATTTATGATAATAGTTTATGGATAAGGCCCTGTCCACAGACGACCTCAGGCGATGGAGCTTTTACTCCCGCCGTGTCAAGTCCATTAGGTTACTCGGCAAAGAGCCCCAAGGACTGTCCCAGGTGTTTACCATGCTCTCGGCATACGACGTGCTAAACCCTGGCACACTCTTCCCGGCCCTCCGCGAGATCCACTGCCGCAACAAACTCAGCAGTGAGGACCTCGCGTGTTACTCCCTAGTTGCTTCGCCAAGCATCGAAGTACTAACCTTTGTGGATGACGGGTATAACCTTCCAGCCGCTCCAGTCACGTCATGCCTTCAGCAAGCCGCTATCCGATCGCCTCGACTTCAAAATTTGGTCGTGCGCGCCTCCCAAAACTCAAAGCTAACCCTCTTCCAATTTCCTTGGGAAACCATATCCCAATTCCCCCACCTTCAATCTCTGACGCTAGAGCTCACGTTTCACAACCGCCATCTCGACCAACTATATAAGTTCGATACTTTAAAGGAGTATTCCCTCTCCCTTTTCCGCCAGAAAGCAAACACGAAGCGATTTTCTGTGTCTGTCTCCGGAACGCCCAGTGTCAATCGCAATATCCGCTTGTTCGGAGATGGCGAATCGACGAGCGTCTTGCGGTGGCTCACAGGAAATGATATCTCCAGTGTAACCGGCATGACGCTCGTAATTTCGCCCCCACATGCAGAGACAATGGCCGGACCACAGTGGGATAAGGTCGTCGATTGCCTGGCGGTCGTTGGATCCAACCTCAAGGCCCTGCGTATCGAACGCCCCCGCAACAACACACCCGCAATTACCTTCCCAATCCAGCTTCTCGGCAAGGTTATGGCGCTCGACGGGCTGACCCACCTCCGCATTGTTATCGACTGTCAGCACAACGGTATTTCCCAACCTGACGATTTGTTCCATCATCTTCTCCTGTCGGCAAAGCACAAGCGTAGCCCGCTCACCCACCTCGCCTTGTTTCATTCCTCAGGCTTGGGGATGGGGACCCCGCTGAGCTTTCATGCTCTCGATCACGTCGCGAAAGACGGAGGATCACTTGTGGTGTTGGAGATCTCCATTGATTCCTCGCGCGGATACGACTCTTTCCCTTCTTCCCCCTCGTATGAGCGTCGCGTTGGGGGAACGGACCCAAGCCCGCATAGACTTAGGTCCCTTCGTATTAGGGATATTCGTGAAAGTGATTTTCAACCCGGGGAGTATCGAAGAGTGGCTCTCTTTCTCGACCACACATTCCCATCCACAGAAATTCGGGCGGAAGGGACCAGTTCGATCTATGGTGGACAGGTCACCAAGGGATGGAAGCATATCCTCGAGCTGATGGAGGACTATCGGCAGTTCAGAAGATACATCTCAGACTTAGATTGCGGGGTTGAGAATGGCAAGGGAAGTAGTAATACGGCGGCAAAGTCAGTAGAAGCCTGAATACATAGAGGCCCGTATGTCCTCATGAACACGCCAGGATGGCGGCAATGTGACCTGAATTCTCGTGACAGTCTTCGAAAGAAGCCAAGAGAAGCCCTTGTTCTGCTGCGGAGAACTGCGGATGTAGATTCCATGGGATTCACGATGTCCACGAGGCCCGCAGTAAAGCTGCGGAATTAAGCGCCCGATTATCTAATCAAGCCTATATCAACGGCGCTCTGGGCGCTAAGTGGATAGCACGGCTGTTCATTGCATACAGCTTTAACCAGATACTCGTACCTTCACGCTTTATCAGTTATCGCACAGAGGGTGTCACAATGGCGTCAAATTCCTTATCTGTCGCTGCTAATGTCCACACGCCATCGGTTGCGACAAGCCCCATGGTCCAGGTTTCGGCCAACCTTGACTTGGTCAAGCTTATCATGTCCAACTACAATGACGATCTGAAGAAAACGTTCTTACTCAGATTTCGGCAAGCTCGACTACGCTCTTTCCTCCACATTTCGAAGAACTTTTTCGAGGCGGTCGCAGATGAGATGTGGGGACAGCTAGAGGGTATCTTTCCTTTGCTACGATTGCTCCCGCAGTTCAAGAACAGTGGAGGAATCTATGTGAGTACTTCAGCAGTGACCGTCACTTCTCTAATTAGATTCAACTAATTCCCGGTTCCTGTCTGTTACAGATGGTGGATAGGGTGCTATCGTTGGATGACTTCTCTCGATGGAACTTCTACGCTCGTCGTGTGAGGAAGATCACCCTCGCCATTAGTCTGGGTGGAAACCTCGGCATGGGAGGGCACTATCTCTCCCAACCCTATATGATGCTTGCGTCATTTCAAGCCCGACATCCCGACGCACAGCTCTTCCCGGGGTTGACGGAAATCCACTGCAACGGAAAGCAGGGAAGCGACCAGATGGCCTGCTTCGCGCTTCTCCTGACGCCGTCCATTCGAACACTTCGTTTTACCGAGGATGGTTGCTCAAATCATTTCCGCCTTCCTCTCGACCAAGTTTCATCCTTCCTTGAGCAAGCAGCCATCATTTCCCCACACCTTCGCAAGATCGTTGTATACGCCCCATCTAACTGCAAGTTGACGCTGTTCAGGTTCCCTTGGAGCGCTATCGCGCGGTTTCGTCGGGTCGAGACCGTCCACTTGCAGTTGGCCTATCACACATTCCACCTCCCCTACATCCACCAGTTCTCCTCGAGGAAGGACGTCACCATCTCCCTTTTCCGGCAGCACAACAAGAGCAGGTCCGAGCGCTTCTCCCTCTCTTCCCACAACGATGAGACGGGTAGGCACCTGACCTTGCTTGGGAACGACGCGAGAATAACCATCGAGAAAATATTGGCAGGCAACATTTTGTCTGGAGTGACCGAGCTAACGCTGCTGACGAGGTCCAGCCACGCAGGCCCTGTACATGGCCCCGTTTGGGGAGTGGTGCTGGGCCATGTTGCCGACACTGGCGGACACTTGAAGAGAATCTGCATCAAGTCTCCGTCGCTGCGGTGGGATTTCGATATCCCGATCGAAAGACTTGAGGAGCTGGTAACCCTCGAGAATTTGACTGAACTTGAGCTCGATGCCCCTATCTTTGCCCATATTCCTCCAGGGACGACATACGACGACGTCTTCCATCGCCTTCTCATATTGACACAGAGCAAGAACACCCCTCTCACCCAGCTCGTCTTACCTATGTTCCCTGGCCTTAGTCTGAAGGCTCTGGAGCACGTTGCGAGGGACGCGCCATCCTTGACCGTCTTCGGAACGGCTCTCAACTCAGAGCACCCATTCAATGACTTTCCATCCGTCCCTTCGACGCCCAATCCAGACGGAAACCGTCACCAGCTCCTCGAGCTTCGCCTCACGGACCATCGCGAGTCCGAATTTCGAGTGGAACATTTCCGAAAGGTGGCGCTTCTGCTGGATGGTCTATTTCCGGAGACAAAGGTGGTCACTGTGAGCCTGGTGGACAGGAAGTCGCCTGGCGCTGGCGTTGTTGCGAACATCAGGAGAGGATGGGATCAGATAATCCAGATGAAAGAGGACTACCGACACATTAGGTGCTCAACTCTGAATCGTCGCTGACAGAGATTCAAAGAAAGTCGAAGATGTAAATATTACCAGCCTATTTGCTATCTATTACGCGAAATATGATCCTCGCTTTAGTCATATGTACTTTACTGCTGAGTATACAGTATTGTGGTGACACTCTTTCTATCCGAACATTGTTATGAGATTGAAAGGGCTTGTCCAGGGGATAGGGGTGGCCCCTATTTGTCTATTTGTCAGCAGAGTCGCCAGCGAGCCCACCGCGTTGCCCTTTGACTACGACCAAACTCAATATTGAAAGCCAACCACGATTTTTAACGGAAAGACCGGCTTTCGAAAGCTGGACCCATGATGAACTTGACTATCGTCCTCCGATTGCTGATGTACGGCAACGAGTTTATGCTTTCTATTTGTTTCACTGACAAATATTTCTGTCGCCAGCAAATCTTACCACTAAATTCGTCGAAACAGTGGCAGAGCGATGAGTAGAGAAGCTGGGACTTGCAGCAACCGGCCCTGCATGCGTATAGCGGCGCTCATCAGATCCTGAAACCCTGGTTCGCCATGTCTCGGATGAATTCCACCTTGCTGAGACTCGGATATGCAAGTCGATGTCTACACTCGGCCATTAACCTTTATCATGACGGCTATGGCAGCAAATGGAGACCTAGAGCAACCTGCTCTGACTACATGCAATTTAGCAATCGACAATCTCGGAGGGAACGCCAGTGGCAGTCTACTCGCCCTCCCCACGGAACTGCTGTTTGCAATTCTCCGCCAACTCGACTTTACCTCACTCTGCTCCGTCGAGCAGACATGCTGGCTGCTAAACTCCATTGCCTCAAGCATCTTCCTGGGGAGGATTGGAATGCGAAGGAAGGTGGTCGATGGAAGGGTATTCGATAACATCTCCGGGGGTAGGGAGCGGAAAGGGGGCGGGAAGTCGGAGACAAGGGGTTCTAGTTCAAAGTCAGCAGCTCAAATCTTCACACCGAAGGAAACACTCCCCATTCTCCGCACGGCTTTCTCAATCACCAACCTGAATTCCATCAGGTTTAGGTTTTCGTACACCTCTCTCCCCTATCACATCGAAGAGGTGAAGGACTTGACCGCACTCGTTCGACGGCAAACCTGTGCACGCGTACTTGACAGCCTCGAGCTCGACTTCGGGGAGCTTGACCGTTGGTTCATGGGACGCGCGCCGGAGCCCGACGATCAGCGATGGAAAGAGGAGTGGGTGTGGGCTTTCACTCACTTTCTCACTGTCATCGGTAGTCTGGAATCGGAGGAGCACCCAGGGTCGAGATGTCGAAGCTTCAAAATTGTTGGTGGGGAGGAGCTGGTACGGTACTTCGAAGAATTCGAAAAGTTGCAGAAGGGATGGGAGGAGGAAGCCGAGCTGGCGGGCGTGGTGATTCAAAACGTGGCTCCGACTTCGAGGAAACTATCCATACGACGCCAGGAACTCAGTGCGTTACCATTGTCTGATTAAACGGTAGACCCTGAGCTGAATTCATTACCAGACCACCTTCCTAAAGCTGTCAATCCGGCTCATATCTTCGATGCAGCGCATGATGTTTCACCTACCTTTGACGAACCAACCTCTCATCAGACCCGCGACAAGAGGCCTAAACCGCGTCGAAGTTCAATTCACAAGTTGGGAAAATGGGTTCGCTCGCACCTTCACGCCAATTCGGGTCAGCAACCTCGAGGAACCAATTCAACAGTCTCTCCCCGTGAAGATCCCCCTCTGACCTCGCTTGCCGGGCTCGAAGAGCGACATGTCTCCAGGCAGTTAAACCACCCTGAACCCCATAGGCCGCACCCCAGCGGCGAAGTATCTCCAGCTCTTGACCACTATCCTCACTCCCAGGCCAGCAACATGCAGCGCATCGACCTTCACTCTGACTTGATGTTCTTCCCCGCGATCCTCCCCTATACCATCACCCTCCTCCAATCCTCTGACCGGTTAGATAGCCTGGAAGTCCAGGTGGCTAGACCGCCCAAGCACCCTGACTTTTGGCTCTCGTTCCTCTCCTCGTGCTCGTTTCCTAATTTGAGGGCTTTCAGCGTCACGTCATCGTTCAAGGTTCAGCCAGATTCTTCGCCCAAAGGAACTTGTCGCGGTTTTATGCAGTCCCGGGAACCTCAGCCGGATCCCCACGCGAGCACGCCAGGGATCCCCCCGCAAGCACTCACTCCTTTCCTTATCCGCCATCCCTCCATTGAAACCTTGAGAGTGGATGGCCCTCTCAACCCTCTGGCCTCGAAATTTGCTTCCCCTGAACGTGGCCAATCCGACCTTCCAATTCTTCCCAACCTTCGCTCGATCACTGCGCATCCGCTCTACGTGTCATGGGTTGTGAATCCTCAACGCGTTCAAGCTCTCGGGAACGGCGGCACGATGAGCGATCCCTTGAAGGAGATCACGATCCTCACTCAAGACTACCAGAACCTTTCAGTGGGGCATTGGATGATGGACGACGTATTCCGGTGCTTGGGAGGGCACCTCAGGGAGAAGAGGAGGACGGAAGAGAGTCATGGGACAGGCGCCAGGTCAAGCGATGGAATATCATTGGGGATCAAGTTCACGACATACAACGGGCTGGATTCGTGGATCAGGAGCCACGTATCTGTCGGGATGGAGAACGGCTTTGTTGGGAAGTTGAATGACGGTGTTACCGATGCCCAAATTACGGTCATGGCCCCAACGCCCTCTCGTTCCCATCCAAGGACGTCCAAACCTCGGCCAGTGGTATCGCCATCATCCACCTCGCTCAGCAAGGAAGGCCAGTACACTGCGCTGAGGTTGCCTCCGCCTCCAGCCCCCCGCTCGTCTAGGCGAATTAGAAGTAAAGTTCCTCCATCCAACCCAAACCCATTCGTAGCAAGCGACGAAACGCACCACATTACATCCAACGCCCTCGAAACCAACCACCAACTCACCGCCGTCACCTCCCTCAAGATTCAGTCGTTTTTTTGCCCCTCGCTGCCCTTTCAAGACGACAGATTCAATCTCCTGGTCGACTTCATGGGTCTCTTTGGGGTCGGTTTGAAGAGCGTCGAGATTGGTGGGTTGGACTTGGATGGGCGATCGAAGGGAGAGCGTAGTGGTCATCCCAGCCGTTATTACGCGACAGGGGAAGAGGCAGAGGGCCGGGTTGGTGAAGAGCTGAACTTGGAGAAAGTGGTTGTAGAGAGAGTCAGACGTGCTTGCCGGGGAGTGGAGAGGATTGTTGTTAACGGGAAAGCGCTGGAGTTCTAACAGGCACTGTCCCTGCTTCCTGAAACGACCCTGACTCTTCGCGTTCATGCTTTTCACCACGTGTACACCACAGAATTCAATCAAACTGCGAGATTGCGTGCGTCATTGACACTTCTCGCTCCAGGAGTCCACAATGTTCCAAAAATACTCGACCAACAGGCACGAGGCAACGCTCGTGACTGTGGGTCGGGCGCTAAATTGGGTACCTATAAGAGATGTTCGAAGCTACGGAGGATCGATAAGAAAGTCAGGGTTGACTGGCCCCACGATCTCCTCGTAGGTGCAGTCCATTCTGAGCGTCTCGACTATGGTTCAGCTCTATTCGACTCGACGAGGAGCTTGCGATGTGGAAAGTGAATACTGCCACCGCACATGTTCCCATCGATGCTAAAGGGAATGAGTCTCTTGCAATCCAGTCACCGGCCCTCGTCAATCCACCGTGTCAGGGTCGAAACTCGAAGTATGACTCTGACCCCCCGTCGCCCTCGTACCGGCGCCCATTCTTTCAACCCAGCCACCCTCCAAACGGCGATGGTCATGACTTCGACACCTTCGTTCACATCAGGGCTTTCGGACTCCGCACCATCCCTCAGGGCCTCAGTAACAAGGGAGGTATCGTCTTCAAGGACATATCGGCAAGCCCAGACCAGGACATTCGCGGTGATTCGAGCAGCACCAAATGTCCCGCTCCCATCGATGATATCCGAGGAAAGAAAGCCCACTCGTTCTGTGACCAAACCGATCCCCCTAGTTCAATGCCAGAAGTTGAGGATGTAGCAAATACCTTAACTACTCTACAGTTTTAGTCGGTTGACCAGTACTTCGGCCAGTAACCACATACTAAGATCTCCTTGTCTCCAATATTATCATTGCCCATAACTACGGTATATATTCGTGCTCGCTCTGCGAATGGGGACATGACGAATTAATGTCAATGAGCGCTTAATGTAACGAGGCTACCTCACGGCCTTGATTGTTGACGTCGTCTATGGTGTCGTTGCTGACTCTCCCTCTCACACTCTCTCGAATTCATTCTCAAACTACCTTGAACGATGATCCAACTCCATCCAGCAAGCCAGGACATTCACGAGGCTTTGTCTCCTCTACCATCGGAATCCAAGCTGATTCAGAGAACGACTATGTAGGCGCATCTACAACCCGTACCAATCCTTAGTCAATAACTTAGCCATTATCCCGATTCCCATAACAATTGGAGTTCCCTACACAGCTGGTAGATAGGGGGAGGCTGGGGCAGCTGCAGTACAGCGACTCGACTAGGTAGAAATATAATCAAGGCACGTTCCAGAATCATACTACTTAGCAGTGCTACCCCCATAGACTGAAAATGCGGCCTGGACGTTCGACATGATGTTCCGGACGAGGACCCAGCGTCACCTCAATCCTCACGTTCACAGAACGCAACTGGTCAAGCCGTTCTTTCCAGAGCTCGCGATACCCGCACCCCAAATGACCGCATACCGAACACATCTCAGCAGGCTGGAGAAACCGCTCCCACAGCTCCAATGGGATCCAGATGACGAGATCCCTCCCCCGAAAGGCCTCCCTCGCCCTCCCAGGGCGCTTCTTCACAAACACCTTCACCAGATGCTTCAGGATGTACGACCACTGACACCCTGAGACGGATTCATAGAGGGACCAGTAGTCATAGACGATGTCGAGCTGCCGTCCTGCAAATCCGCGAGCCGCCATGCGACGGGTGATCAAGGGCAGGAAGTCTACGTATCCGACCAGGAGCACGCGGACCCATGGAGGTAGATGGGATACGAGCAAGGCCGTGCGCTCCGGAGTCAGATCACCAGCACGGCGCAAATCAACGTGGCGCAATTTGGTGAGATTGGAGAGGGAGTAGGGACTCCTGGGGTTAAACGACGCCAAGCGGGGATACCACCTCTGCTGCAGGAATAATTCCTCCAGATGTGGCATGTAGTTCAACTCCCACTCTCGGGTTGTAAGGGTCAGGCGCTTGATGCCAACTGGAGTATCCGCGTCTTCATCACTTGTGCTGTCGGAATCCATATTGCCGAGTCCAATGACCGCTTCCTTCAAGGATGGTTGGGCTTGCAAAAAGCGTCGGGCATAGTCTTTCGGCACACGTCCTCCCAGACTGAGAAACGTGAGGCAGGGGAACTGGGGTACTTCTGGGGGTGGCTTAGACCTGCGCCATTCAATGGACAGTTGCTTCAGCTGGGAAAAGCGTTGAAGGAAGGAGGGAAATTGTAGGTAGACTGGATGGTCGGCATTTAACTTCCCGTGTTGTCCCACCCAAATGACTTCAAGGGTCTCCAACGCAGAGGAATCGTAGCTGTCGGGGAACGCGGCCTCGAGGATCTCCGGGGATGTTCCTCGGAGACCTAACTGCTTCCACCTCTTGCTCCGGAGGAAGGCGGCCAATTCCCCCCAGTCTTCGGTATGCAAATATTGTTCGGGTAAATCAATCTTGAGGCCCAGGCTCTGATCTCCAGCATGGGAGAACCAACGTTGCAATATACGCATTGTAGATGTGCATGAATCCTCCAGCCAGACGCTCAGGTAAAGTGTTCTCCACAACTCGGGAGAAGAGTCGACGACGGCCTTCCACTTCTTGCATACTAAACGCAGCCGAATCCATTCACGTGTCGGAAACCAGGGGAACGGGTCGAGGGTGAAAAACAAGATTCTGGCTATGAGTTCGTGTGGAAGCCATCGCACAGGAGACGTCAACTGTCGGTATGGTTGAACCCGTGCTTCTGCAGCCAATACATCGTCCTGTGCCCTTGCGAGTGCTTCTTTCAGCTCTTCGACACGTTTTCTAGCCATGTGGAGATCTCCCTCCAGCTTTTTGAGATGGGCTTTGGCGGAAAGGTGCAGGTGCATAGGCGGCACGTCGTTGGATATGGCATACGGGGCTAAAGACGTGTCGTGGAGTTCTGGCATCATGATAAATTCGATATCTGGTTGGTTACTGGTTAGAGATGGACAAAGGACTCTCTCTACAGATGACTTACATACATAAATTGAAGTGGTGCCCCAATCCAGAAGTCCTGGTGTAGTAACTCGTATCGATGTGGTGGATGCGGTGAGAGGAACAACGTGTGTGCTGGCAGCTAGGCTGCCTGACAGGGGTTACTCGGAGCTTGTAAACAGTGATCCGCCTGATGCAAGCATCGGCGAGCCCTTCACAGAGGTCAAATTCCGCCGTGTTGAAGTCAGATTGAAGTGCTTCGTTTTATGGATTATTCGCAGGGTAGACGTCAATCTTTCGACCCAGCCACCCTCCAAACGGCGACGGTCACGGCTTGGACTGGGGACACCTTCGAAGTTCGAAGTTCGTTCGCATCACGGCTTTCGGACTCCGCACCATCCCTCGAGCTCTGGGTATCATCTCCAAGGACAGATCGACGAACCCAGACCAGGACATTCGCGGTGGTTCGAATCTCGAGTGTAGTGGGAGGAGCTCACGAGTACGACGAGAAGATGTCCCTGGAAATTGGATCCAGATCCACAAAAACACACCATTGACGTCGACGTCGCTCTAGCTGATAAGTAAGTGCTTCTTGTGTATCTGCATTCCTGTCATCCCCAAGCCCACAATGTGTCATGTTCTGGTCCTTTTGCCTCACCACGAGGCCGAAGCTGTAAAGATGTGACGCGTCACGCGTCACAAAGAACGGGCGCTAATTTCGAAGCGCACAATGCTATAAATTCGGTCGACCCCAGGTTGACGGAGTCCTTGATCCCCCTTTGCTTTCGATAGCCACCAAGGCTTACAGTGCACCATAACACAGTTTCCCTTTCCCCATTTCCCATTGACAATGATACAACTGTACCCCGCGAGTCAGAGTCAACACTCGCTGTCTACAGCCCCTGTCGTCCTGGGAGCTGAAGCCACAAGTCCCACTGAGGACGATAACTTTGGGATGACATCGGTTCCTGGTACCCCTGTGACCGTACCCACGACGCCCGACGATGTTCAAGCACCTTCGTTGGAAATATCGCTCTCTCCTGTTCCTCCCCCAGGTCAATCTCTCGAGCGCCCGACTTCATCCTCCATCGTTTTGGACCCGGAGTACTACTGGCCCTCTGTCAAGTTCTCGGTGCGCATAATTTCCCAGCTCGAGTCATTTGGACTTTTACTGACGCATGGTTACCAATAATATTCAGATCCAACAACACTTGGTTCGACTTCCAGTAGGCCTCTTCATCCAACATTCAGAGAAGTTCGCCACCGATTATGGCCTCTCGTCATGTTCGTCTGTTCCAGGCCTTGGGCGCGAAGAGCGAGAGATCGTACTTGACGTTGAATGGGAGGACTTTAGGAACCTTTTGAAGGCTCTAGCCCCGAGGTACGCCTACCTATGCTAAATACGCTCTGTTTCGAAACTGCGACTGACATACCCCATCGTTACGTGTAGGTCCCCATTCTTGGAGGACAAACCCACTCTCTCCGAATCCGAGTGAATCTCAGTCCTCAAGCTCTCGACCAAGTGGCACTTCAACGACCTCCGGAAGGTCGCCATCGACGAGCTCTCCGGCGATGTCAAAATCGACGCGATTCAGCGGATTGGCCTCGCCAGGTCCTACGCGGTATGCGACTGGCTGGTTTCGGCGTACGAAGAGCTGGTGGAGAGGGACGAGCCCATCTCTGAAGAAGAAGGGGAGAAGATCGGTATGAGCACTGCGTTGAAGCTGTCAGGTGTTGCATTGCGTAGGCTCCGCGGGACCAAGTCCGTGACCACCTGTAGTGGACTTCGTCGAAAGAGAGAATTCCCCCGTGACGATATCTTGAAGGCCTTCGGCGACGAATTCGACAATATCCAGCGTGTTCAAGGGCAGTACTTGACGAAGAGCGAGAGACGCGAGAAGGAAGCCAGGGAGGCAGCGGAGGCAAAGGCCAAACGGGAAGAGGAGGAGCGGCTGGAAGGGGAGAGAAAAGCCGAGATGGAGAAACGAGCAGCGGAGGAGGAGGCAGCAAGGATCCGTGAGGAGGAAGAAGCGAAGAGGAAGGACCGGGAGGAAGAGGACGCGAGAACAGCAGCAGAACGTGAAAAGCGTATCCAGAAGCTTCGAATGGAGGAGGAGCGGGTCAAGCGAGAGCTGGAGTTAGAGTTGAGCCATGAGGGCGTCCCTGCCGGTGGTGAATTCAGTACCTGGAATACTAGGCCCGTGACGCCCGAGTGGAGAGCTGCCCAGGTGTTGTGCGATGAGCCTGGTGAGCCGAGCCCGTTTGGGCGGGGCTTTAAGCCGATCCCGGTGGTGGCCAATAGGCCCTTCGAGTTTTCCCCGGCAGTGTTCAGCTCAGGGTCTTTTCGATCATCAGTGAACGACCTGAGCTGCCCCCGGCCCCACTAGTCACCAAGAAGAAGCCGCGGGGATTCGGGCACTAGATACCTTAACTGCTCTACAGCTTTAGTCGATAAACCAATACTTAAACAAGTCTGCATCTGACCGGCTGAGAGGTCCACCTTGTCAAATAATATACCAACTGCAACAATTGAAACACATTTTACACACGGAGAATGGGGAATATTGTGAGGAATTGTCGACGGGCGCTTAACGCAACGAGGCAACCTCATGGCCTTGATTGTCGTTGTTGACGTCGTCTACAGTCGTTGTTACTCTCCCTCTCTCACACTCTCTCGACTTCATTCTCAAACTACCTTGAACGATGATCCAACTCAATCCTGCAAGCCAGGACACTCAAGAGGGCTTTGCTTCCTCTACCATCGGAATCCAAGCTGATTCAGAGAACAACGACTATGTGGGCGCATCTACGACCCGTACCACTTCGTCGTCCCAGCATATTGACCCCTATGAAATGATGGAAGGAGTTCCTCCCTCTCCGGCTAGTTCTGCTTTCTCCACACCTCTGCCCGAGCTATTGGAACCGCCACAGTCCCCGACCTTGCAGATCGAACCAGAGTTCTTCTGGCAATGTGTTCAGTTTGAGGTATGACCCTTCAACTCCAACTCGCCCGCCTCAGTTGAACGAAACCTAACTCGATTGATTTTGAACGTCAGGTCCAAGGACATCTCGTGAAACTCCCTCTAAACCTCTTCATTGAACATTCAGAGAAGTTCGCAGGCGAGTACGGGATGTTACTACCCAAGGAGGTCGCACTGGGAGGCTGGGAAGAGCCGAAGTTGAATGATCACCTCGATCTGCCGACCATCAAACTCGAAGGAATCCAATGGGAGGAATTTAAGAGTTTCCTGAAAGCTTTAGTACCACGGTACGTCTTCTTTCCTCCCATCCACAGAATTTCTAGAAACTTACAAACACCTGATACGTCCAGATCCCCATTCATCGACACCAAACCAACGCTCACCGAGTCGGAGTGGATCTCCGTCCTCAAACTCTCCACTCGATGGTACTTCAACGACCTGCGAAAGGTAGCCATCGCCGAACTATCAAAGAATAAAGTCGAGATGGACCCTATTCAACGTGTTTGCCTCGCCAAAGCGTACCATGTGTACGACTGGCTGCTCGAAGGATACGAAGCGCTCGTGGAGAGGGAAGAGCCGATCACAGAGGAAGAGGGGGAGCAGATCGGTATGGGCGTGGCCCTGAAGTTGTGTGGGATCGCTCTGAGAAGAGCTAGGGGGAGAATCTGCTGTGGGGGAGGCTGTCGGAAGAGTGCACGACCACGACTACCACCACCTCCTGGAGGCCATCACAATCAGGACATAACGGACGCCTTTTCAGACGAAATCGAGAGAGTGCGAAATTCGCAGGAGGAGTACTTGACACGGAAAGAACGAGTCGAGAAGGAGGAGAAGGAGAGGGAGGGGAGGGAAGCGGAGGAAAAGGCTCAACTGGAACGGGAAGCAAATGAACGTGTCAGGCGGGCGAAGGAGGAGGCGGAGGAGGAAGAAGCCAAACGAGCGATGGCACTGAAGGAGGAAACAGAACGTGTTGCACGCGAAGCCGAGGAGGAGGCCAGGCGAAAGGCACGGGAAGAGGAGGAAATCGAACGTCTTAAGCGCGAGGCGGAGGAAGAGGCGAAACGAAAGGAACGGGAAGAAGAGGAGAAAGCTGAAAGGATGAAACAGGAAGCGGAGGAGGAAGCCAAACGGAAGGCGCGAGAAGAGGAGGAAGGAATGGAACAGCTGGCACGGGAAGCGGAGGAGGCGGCCAAGCGAAAGGCGCGGGAAGAGGAGGAAGAAATGGAACGGCTGGCACGGGAACTCGAAGCAGAGAAAGTTGAAGAAGGACCACTGAAGGTCCTTGAAGACCTGATTGAAATGGTGCAACTAGCACAGGAATTGGGGGAGGGGGCCAAGCGACTTGTAGCGAGGGAAGCGGATGAAACAACCGAGTCAGAAGGACGGGAAGAGATCGAAGAGATCAAACGAACTCGAAAGGAGGAAGAGGGGGAAGAGCAGAAGGAAGTTGAAATCACACCTGGTACCAAGAAACTGTCCCGAAAGGAGAAAAGGAAGATAAGACGCCAAAACCAAAAACGGAGGCATCTAGAACAGGAAGCCTCTGAAGCCGCCCAGCCTGAACCGACATCTTCCCCTGGATCCCAAACAGGCGCAAGCGCCGCTGGTTGTTCCTCAAACCCTAGGCCACACGCACACGCTGGACCGAAACCTCAGGCTGGCGCAACGATCACCCCAGAATCAAGTTCTGTACTAGTAGAGGGTGGAAGCCCAGAGGGAGGATCGATATCAAGGCCACCACCTGGACGACCTGGCAGGCTATCCCTTTCAGAGCGACTTGCCATTTCCCTCGCGCGGTTCCAGCAGCTACCCAGCGACTCGGACAACAGTGTATGAATTCCTCCTACACGATACATGGCTGGCGACGAGGAACCACCGTATGATGAAGATTTGGGATGGGGCTCCGAGAGCAGCGTTGATTTGGATTTGGATTTGGATTTGGTATTCGAAGGGAGCGGATAGGGATAGGACTGGTGTACGAGTACTACCGTGTGTATACCATCGAGTCGAGTGGTTAGAATCATGTACTCAAATTATTATGGCGGCTGGCCACCATTCATCCTGACTCGAAACCGAATAGCTAGAACTGAACCGAAAGATACATCAAAAAAATTCCACGTCTGAAAAATGAAGAATAGAATTCAGAACTTGGATGTACAACACCTATAACAAAGACCGAACCACCCATCCACTCTACTCTACTCCAGCACACTACCGCTTCCCCTACTACTCCGCCCTGTATCCTACCACTTCCCTTCATCCCCGGCAGTCCGGATCCCCTACCGCTTCCCCTCAAACCCAGGCCTTCCCTTCCCCTTACTCTTCGTCTTGTTCGCCAACTTGCCTCCCTTGGAAGTCTTCCCTCCACCTGTCTTCCCTCCCTTTCCTTTCGACGACGACGAGGAGGAGGAGGCACCCTTTGAAGAAGAGGAAGAGGACTTCCCGCCCTTCTTGCGCTCGTTCCGCATGGCGATGTTGTCGGCGCGCTTTTTCTGGCGGGCGGCCATGGCTGCTGCGACTTGTTCTTTGCGTTCTTGCCTGTTAGGAGGGAGGGGGTGGCGGTGAGTGAATGGTGAACGACAGCGGTGAACGAGAAAGGGGGAGTAAATGGAAGGAATAAGAGAAAGATAACGAAAGAGAAAGAGGAAGAGGAGAGGTAGTGTGGATGAGATGAGATACCCAAGCCAAGGAGTGTCGAGACAAATGGGACGTCGGACGAAAACAGGGATGGTAACAAAACCGCAAAGGCAACCTAAAGAAAAAAAAAAGGAAAAGAAAAAAAGAACAAATACACACCACTCCTTCTTCCCCCTCTCCTTCTCCTTCTCCTTCCTCTTCGCAGCCTTCTTAAGCCTTCCCTCATCATCCCTAACCTTCGCACCCTCCATCCTCATCTCAGCCTTCACCCACCTCTCCCTCTCCTCCACCTCCTTCCTCTTCTCCTCCGGCAGCTTCTCCAAATGCGCTTTATGTTTTTGGAGCGCGGCGAGAGCTTGTGTCGGGTCTGAGGGGAGTTTCAAGCCTAATTTAGAGGCTGCGGTGGATGAGGAGGACTTTTTGGAGGTGGAGGTGGTGGTGGTTTTTGAGAAGGCGATGGAGGTGTATTTGGAGGAGGGGTTTTCGGAGACGAGGAGTTGAGGCTATATCGATAACGCATACATCGTTAGTTTCTTTCGAGCCACAGAGTCGATTATAAATATCGAAAGATAAACGAACGAACCTTGGTGGTATTCCCAGCCACATCCCGGTCCTTGCCTTTACCCTCCTTCCCGTCCTTCCCACCCGGTGCCGCAGAGGCAGAGACAGAGTTAGATTTAGCCTTAGCCTTCTTCATCTCGCTCTCGCGTCTTAACCTCTCCTTCGTCTCCTTTCGCCTTCGCTCCCGGAGGGCGGCGCGTTGCTGCCGCCGTTCTTCCAACAGATCATCTTTGGATGCTGGTTCTGAGCCTGGAGTTGGTTGTGTTGGCGTTAGCCTTTTCGTTAAGAGAACGAGAATAACGAGGATAGATAGTGGATGTGGATGTGGATGTGGATGGGAACGCACGCACCTCTCCGCTTGTTCCCCCGCAATCTCTCGATCTTGTCATGTAGTTTTTGACGTAGGGCGGCGATACCCCCTTCTGAACGTGGCATTGGGACCAACTTCTCCTCTGCACCTTCACCTTCCCCTCCTCCCTCGTCGTCTCCATCACGCATACTAACATCCCCCTCACCCGCCTCGGACGAAACGTCCTCCCATTCCCCGGCGTCGACGTCCATCGAGATGTCGTTGTCCTCCCCGTCTGAACCGCTGTCGGAGGCGTTGGTGGAGGAGGCGCGTTTCTTGGCTTTGGATTTGGACTTGGAGGATTCGTTTTGGATGTCGAGGATTGTTTTTTGGTTTGCTGGGTCGAGCTATTTGTGTGTGGGTGGTGGGTGGTAAATAGTAATAGGATACCAATGAGCATTGTGGTGTGTTGTCGTAAATCACATCGAGGAATTTGACATCGGAGAAGGAGGAACACGTCGTGCGCAACAAATGAAAGAGAGAAATGGTTTGTTATTCGTCAGTTCAATACGAATTGGAGGATTGAACGTAGTAGACTACCTCACCTTCCTCCTCTTCGCTTCCTGTTTGGCAGCTGCGACTTCTGCAGCATGCTTGATCCCTTTTTGTTTCTTGCTGTGTTTTTGGAATTTGGAGGCGATCTGGGGAGGTGAGTTGAGGTCAGTTAACATTCTTTTTTACTATTCGACGCAAGAAGAGGGAAGTAGGGTAGTGCAGGGACAACGCCCTCTCTGAGAAGGATAACCAGTGCACAAAAGATAGACATAGACCAGTAAACCCAAAGATCAAGAAGAAGATAAACACACCTGCTCCTCAGTAGCCTCGTTCACGATGTAGTACTGCGCCGGGATGAGCTTCAACAGACTCTCAAACGTCTCGTTGTGCTGCTCCAGAGACGCGCGAAGGACGTTCGCCGGTGTTGGTGTTACTGGCATTTTGGTAGATTCGTATTCGTGGACTTGTATTACTATCTCCTATCTCGCACGGTGCTGGTGTGATGGGGTTTTGTAGACGTTCGAGCTCGAAGTTTGTAGGTGTTGGGACTTTAGAGGACTAAGTGTTTGGGACGGGTTTGAGCGATTAGATGAGTGATGAAGGGCGGTGTTTGAGAAAGGCTTGAAGAGCGTATGGGAACTGGGTAGAGACGAAGAGTCAATAAGCACCCATATCTAAACTAAGCGATGCACGCTTCCACATCCGAACAGAACAAAACACGTACTCTTTCTTTCCTCAGACCCCAAAATTCACCACTTTCAATACCCAAATTTCGTTGTTCAGCACACTCGGCACTTGTACGTCTTCCCAGAGACTAGATCCTCACAAAGACGGTGAGAACGAGTAGAAAACGAAGACTACGCCGGCGAGGACGATGGTGGAGGACGAAAGAGAAAAAGTGGCCTCCTTCCTAAACCGGATGAGGGAGGATGGGGTTAGGGTTTGGGATGGGGTTAGGGTTTGCGACCGCATCAATCAGAGATCCGAGTCGTTTCCCTTGTCACTGTGCGTATTGGATCTTGGACTTATCTATCCACCACTCGCCACCACGACCACGACCGACAACGAAAGCTTATCGCGGGCCAGGAATAAGGCGAAACAAAATAACTCAATTCTGTGGATAAAGGCTACTGCTGCTTGGAATCGAAAGGAACTGCGAGTAGGAGGAAATCTCAAACGCGGATTTAGGATCTTTGAAACTGTAGCGCATTCGACTGGACGACTATGGCTAGTACTGCATCGAGCCCTCCATCGGAGTCTACGACTTCCTCGTCACCCGTCACGACGATTGAGGCTCCTGTACAGTCCACAACGGGCCAACCACAATCCGCGAACGAACAGCAGCCACAACCACCACAGCAAGGACGACAAAACCAATTCCACCCTCCAGCCAAACGCATCCTCATCCCAGACCAACTCACCGCGTTCCAAAACTCGCAAACGCATGCTGATATCGTGGAGTTTATTACGAGGTTGAATAAGAGCGTCAAGGGTGCGAAGTTGAGTGATAGGTTTGAGGGAGAGGGGAGGCCTGTGAGTATCACTTACTTAGTCGTTGGTTGGGATTTAGCGTTTTGGATTGGTTGGGGTTCGGGGCCGTCGTCTTCGGCCTATCGTCCACAGCCCTTCGCGAACCCCACCTTCTCATTCATTCGCATCCCATCCACTCGTTCTCTCCCGCTACTCAAACCAATCCAATGCTAACCGCCCCGTACGCCACTAGATCATCCAAGCCATCCTCAAGATCCTCGACGAAGTGCAGCAGATTGCTAAAGAGACGCCACCGATTGAGAACCCCGGTTCGAGGTTTGGGAATCCTGCGTTTAGGACGTTTTATGATCGGGTTGGGGAGGTGAGTAGCGTTTTTGAGTTTATTATCCCTTGCGATCCTTTCGCTTGTTTTGTTCTCTTCTTGTTCTCGTTCTCTTCTTGTCCTCGTTCTCATCCTCGTCATCGTCCTCTCCTCGTCCTCGTCCTCATCCTCGTCCTCCAACCACACACTAACCTAACCTCCACAACCCCTCAGGCCACCGAACCCCTCCACACAACACACCTCGTCCCACTCGGCCTCCCACCCGCCTCCATCCCCGAAATTGGCACCTACTTCAAGGAGTGCTGGGGTAACCGCACGAGGATTGATTATGGCAGTGGGATGGAGGTTAATTTTATTTGTTGGTTGTGAGTATCGAGTCTTGCTTTCTTGATGTATATCTTGTGGTTGGTTGGTTGGGTTTCGTTGGTTGGTGCTTGTGGTGTTTGGGAGCGTCGTGTGGGATGGGTCGGTGGGGATTTGTGCGATGGGTTGACGAGGTTCTCATCTGGATGCCTGGCGGGATCTTATCTGTTCTCATACTTGGATCTTATCTCGCTCCCCCTCGCGCCTTGTGACCTCCCTCATGACCCATGACCACGATACCGTCTTCCCCGTCACACGCACGGCGTCTATTCCCCCTTTTATGGCATTCCCTTTCACCGCTGCGACAGTTTCTTGATCTCCATGTCTATCCTTTGCTTCTCTTCACATTGGAACCCCATCACGTACACCTTTCGTTCAATTGGAGTCCCATCATTTACACCTCTTCATTCACATTGCAACCCACCCAATCGCCAAATTTGCTCAACCCGATACCCGAGGTTTTATTAAATAGCTGACGCGTTTTCGCAGGATATGCCTGGAGAAACTTGGGCTCTTTTCTTCCTCTTCTTCCTCGTCTACTACCGCCTCTCCATCCTCAAACATTCCCTCTCCACAAGATGCCTCAAACACCACCTCTCCATCTTCAACCGGTACCTCCTCCTCGACCTCCCCATCCCCGGCCGAAGACCTAGCCACCCCCCTCGTCCTCCGCATCTTCTGGACCTACATCCAAACCATGCGTCTCCTCCAGTCTCAGTACTGGCTCGAACCCGCTGGGAGCCACGGTGTGTGGGGGTTGGATGATTACCATTTTTTGCCGTTTTTGTGGGGGAGTGGGCAGTTGGTTGGTGAGTGCTTTTATCTTTTGTGCGAGTTTTTCTTTTCGGACTTCGATACGATTTTGCGCGATTCGACACTGACTGATACGATACTTACTGATATGATACTTACTGATATGATACTTACTGACTGACGTTCGAACGGGTTGTAGGCCACAAGTTCATCAGACCACGCGCGATCCACGATGCGGAAGTTGTGGAAGAGTATGCGAAGGATTATATGTATTTTGCGTGTATTGCTTTTATCAACTCGGTGCGTATACCATCAAGTCCTACTTTTTTGTTCTTTGCTTTGCTTTTCTTTTGTTCCTGTTCTCGTCTTGTCCTCGTTCTTCGTCGCGCGTCGTTCTGCTATCTGCTATCTCTTTGGGTGGCTGCGTTCGTGGATGGCTCCTTGGGCAGGGACAAGTGACAGGTGGGGACGGGGACTGAGGAAGAGGAGAACGGAATTTATGATGATCCAAAGGGATTTATATGAGCACGGAGCGTTGCTTCGTTTTGCGTTGAAATAATCCTATAACAATGTCAGAATCGCACTGAATTATTACCGTCTCCTCTCCTCCTCTCTTCTTTCCTTTTTATTTGCTTGGGTTTTTGGATTGTGGAGGAGGATGTGCTGACGCGTTCTCTCTCTGGTGCTTTGAACTCCTCGACGATATGATCTTTGCTGCTGCACTCGTCCGACATATTCCTCGATTTGCGATATGATCTCGATTTGCGATATGGAACTCGACTTTGCGATATGGATAGATCAAGACCGCTTCGCTACGGTGGCACTCGCCGATGTTGGACGATATTTCAGCTGTGAAGACTTGGGATAAAGTTAACGAAGGTGCGTCTCTTTCCTTTCCTCCCCTCACTCTCCTTATCTCGTTTCTCCTTGTCGAGAAATCTACTCCCCCACCCCCATTCTTCATCACCACGTCCACCTCCACGTCCAGGAAGACACTAACTCACTCTTCTATTCTTTCCACTACTACGACGACGCATCTAGGCATGATCAAGATGTACAAAGCGGAAGTACTGGGCAAGCTCCCTGTGATGCAACATTTCTTGTTTGGGAGTTTGTTACCGTTTCCTGTTTATGTACCTTCGACTGAGGCTGGGTCTGTGGTGGCACCGAGTGTACCGAATGCCTCAGCCATCGTCGTGCCCTCCTCTGCTTCTCCCTCTGCCTCCTCTTCCACTACGTCCTCTGCCCCGACGCGTGGAGCACCGGACGGCAAGGAGGGTGATAAGAAGGAGCACGTACATGATCCCAACTGTCTCAATGCAGTTGGAGTTGGGGGAGGACCGGAAGCCCAAGGTCATGCGCACCATGCCCACTCGCATGTTCCGAGGAATATTCATCCGAAGGTGTTGGCTAGTTTGAAGGCGAGGGGGGAGGTTGTTGAGGGGTTGGGTGGGGGGCATGGTGAGTGGGTTTTTTCGATTTCTTTCGATTTTCTTTTCTTTTTATTCCTTTCTTTGCTTGCCTCGTCTCGTTTTTCTTTTTACTTTCATCGTCACTCTTTTTTTATTTTTATGATTTTATTTTGTCCCCTGGCCCCCGTTTTCGGTTGACGGGAAGGGAACTTGGGTGTCGTCCCGCTTTGTTTGCGCGTTTTGACGCGACGGGCGACATGCATATGCTTGTCGTCGCGTATTGTGAGGCGCCGCGGTGTCTCACTCATGTCGTCTTTCTTACTTTCGACGACAAGACGATTCACTCTTCCTTTCTCTTTCGAACAATGTCTTTCCATAACCGTGTTCAAACAACACGCTCCCCTCTCTTCTTCAAACAATACTTGCCCAACAATGTTTGCGCTTTTGACAAAACCTGACACTAACCGACGATCACTCATTCAGGAACCGATTTAGGAGGAGCAGGGCAGCGAGAGGTTGGGTGGGGCGATTGTTGTGGGATTCCGGTACCGAGTGTGTTTGGAGCTGCTGCTGAGGCTGGAGGGCAGCCTGGACAAGGTGGAGTGCAGGGACAGAGGTATTCGTTGAGTGGGGTGCGGCCTGTGCCTTTTGATTAGATGTTTGTAGTGAAAGAATAGTGTATATAACGAGTTACTGTAAGGGTGAAATGATGTAATGCGTCATTGGCTACTGAGAGACTGAGGGCATCGCGAGTACGAGGAGGCGATCGAGAGATTCCAGAACGCGCCAAGTGAACGGGAAGCCGAAGATGCCGAGGATGCGAAATCAAAATTGCACGATGTTGTTTTGGTTTGTGTTGTGATTGTCTTGGCAGCGACGGGCCCGTTTAGCGAGTGTTCGGCTGGCAAAGAGTGGGCACAGCTAAGCAAGAGTGAGTGTGTGAACCGCGGGCCAGACCAGTACGCTTTCCCTTCTTTCTTTCTTCTTTCATCGTCAGCAACCTCCATCTTCTCTCTTTAATCCCTTTCCTCCTCTCCCCTTTTCTACTTCCCCCCTTTTTGTACGACGAGGGTTACTCCTGCGTCTACATCGACGAGGACTAGCGACTACGCTTTGCTACCCACTTCTGGTCACCACCCCAAGGACGCTTTTCGAAGCGGTTTCTGTGTCGGTGCTTTTGTGCGGTTTGGTCAGCCCCCTTGGTCAGAGGTGAGTAGCAGTGCTGCTCTGTTGCGTGGGTTGTCAGGAGGCTTACGGATTTGTTTGGACTGTGTAGGATTTTTCTAGATTCGCCGACGACGTAGCGCCAGCACCACCACCACTCCACTACAACTACAACGACTGCTACTAGAAGCGGCGCCGGCAGAAGCACGACCAGCGAAGCACGGGAAGAATTTACAATCGGAGGCTATCGCTATCGAGTTTTTGGTCATCGTCATCACCCATCAGCTCTTTCCCTACCGACTACCACTACCATCTCAACTACAATCTTAAAAGTACACCACCAGCGTTAATATCGACCCTGCGGAAGAGGGTATAGCACGACGACGATGTCGAACCCACAGTCCCGCCGCGCATCCGGCGGGTTCACCTCATCCACCCATCCGAACAACAACAACAATGACAGCAGCAACGAGCGGGGGCACCCCTCGCTCTCCGCCCTCGAATCCACCTCGAACCTGTCGACTCTACCAACGACATCCCTGACGGACGACACCCTCGTCTCCTGCCTGCGCGAACGGTTCATGACGGACACGATCTATACCGCTATCGGTACCAACAGTCTTGTCGTTGTGAACCCGCACAAGTATGTGGGGTGTAACAGTGATAGTGTTGTGTACAAGTATGCGGCGGAGTATGCGGATATGGGGGTTTGTGAGAATGTGTTGGTTGGGGAGGGTGTTGAGGGAGGAGGGGCGGGAAAGAAGATGCCGCCTCATGTTTTCCAGCTTGCGAATAATGCGTATTATCATATGAGGAGGACGGGTCAGGATCAGTGTATCATCTTTACGTGAGTCGTTTCTTCGTTGTGCTGTCCTGCAAGGGTAGCTGACCAGGTTCTCTTTCTCTACGCTCTGCCCCTCGACGATATCATTCTTTTCTCAACCACGCGGCGACACATCACCTTTGCTCCGGCGCTACCGCTTGACCGGTGGATGGATGGAATTGAATCAATCAACATTGTTGTGTCATTTTGACCATGGCGATGATGCTATCCTTATTCGACACGCCCTCTCGCACGCCGACCTCGGTCCTGATCGGGCTTCTATTCCCATCCCCTCCAACTCAACAGTGGCGAAACCGCCTCTGGAAAATCCGAAGCACGCCGTCTGGCCATCAAGTCCCTAATCACCCTCTCCGTCCCACCCGCAGGCAAAAAGGGCTCCAAACTCGCCCAGCAGATCCCCGCCTCGGAATTCGTCCTCGAGTCCTTTGGCAACGCACGCACCCTCTTCAACCCCAACGCCTCCCGCTTCGGCAAGTACACCGAGCTGCAGTTTACGAATATCTATGGCGGGGTGGAGAAGGGTGGTAGGAGGGGACGGCTGTGTGGTGTCAAGACGTTGGATTATTATTTGGAGAGGGGGAGAGTTGCGGCTGTCCCGAGTGGGGAAAGGAACTTCCATATCTTTTACTACCTCGTGAGGGGTGTGAATGATGACGAGCGGGGACACCTGAACCTTGGTGATGGACGCAACTTTAGGTACCTCGGAGGCCAGAGGGCGAGTATCGGTGGCGCGCACGGGTTGGCTGGGCGATTCGGCCACCATTCGCAGCCGAGTGGACCTGGTGGCCATGCTGGTGTTCCAGGCAGGGACGAGGACGCGCTCAAGTTTGATCAGCTCAAGATTGCGTTGAAGACGATTGGGTTCTCGAAGCGCTCGGTGGCGCAGTGCATGCAGCTCGTCGCTGCTATCCTCCACCTCGGCAACCTCGACTTTACGATCGACAAGTCCCGTAACGAAGATGCGGCTGTTGTGCGCAACCTTGATACCCTCAACCTCGTCGCCGATTTCTTGGGTGTTGATCCTCAAGGCCTCGAGGGTGCTCTCAGCTACAAGACGAAGATGGTCAAGAAAGAGTTGTGCACTGTGTTTTTGGATGTGGAGGGTGCCGAGGCTAACAGGGACGAACTCGCCAAGACGCTTTACTCGCTGCTCTTTGCCTGGGTGAACGAGTACGTCAACCAGAGGCTGGCTGTGGAAGAGGGTGGTGCAGGCGGCGATGGCGACTTTGACGCCTTCATCGGCTTGCTCGACTTGCCCGGCCCCCAGAACATGAGCTCCCGCCCCAACTCGCTCGACCAGTTCATCGTCAACTACGCCAACGAGCGCGTGCAGGGCTTCGTCCGCAACAAGATCTTCAACGGCAACCAGCAGGAATTCCAATTCGAAGGTCTCACCCATCTCCTTCCTTCGCTTTCATCCCTCTCGACGCCAGATAACTCGGAAACCCTCCGACTGTTGCACAACTACCCTGGTGGCTTGATCCATATTATGGATGATCAGGCGAGGAGGCAGCCGAAGAAGACGGATGGGACGATGGTCGAGGCGTTCCAGAAGCGCTGGGGTAACCATTCGAGTTTCAAGACGAGTGGTGTGGTGGACGTTGCGGGTGCTGGCCGTGCTGCTGGTGCGGTGCACGCTTCGGGCGTCGGTGCCTCGTTCACTGTCTCGCATTACAACGGTGCTGTCACCTATGCTGTTGAGGGTTTCCTCGAGCGTAACCTCGACTCTGTCAACCCCGATTTCGTCTCGCTCCTCCGTGGTACGGCGCATGATACGGCGCAGGCTGTGAACACGATGCATCATACGGCTCAGCAGGCCGCGCAGGAGGGGTATGGGAGTATTAACCCTTTCGTCAAGAGCTTGTTCTCGAGCAAGGCCATTGCGACGCAGGCCCATCCCAGGCATGAAGAAACGATCGTTGCTGCGCAGCAAGCTGTGAAGCCCATGCGTGCGCCATCGATGAGGCGGAAGGGTACGGTTAGGAGGGGCAAGAGGGCTGGTGACACCGAAGGACGGATGGAAGGTATCGAAGAGGCTGAAGGCGACGAGGAAGGTGGTGCTACTGGAGTCGTTTCGCCGTTCGGAGGAGGGGAGAAGGATTTGACGAGGAGCCATACCCGAGCCGAATCCCAGGCCAACAACCAGAACAAGGATACCCCGTGTGTGGCGGGCGAGTTTAGGGCTGCGCTTGATACGCTCTTTGCGACGCTCGATGAGACGCAGCCGTGGTTTGTTTTCTGTATCAACCCGAATGACTCGCAGTTGCCGAATCAGTTGGAGGGGAGGAGTGTGAAGGGACAGGTTAGGAGTTGTGGGATGGGTGGTGTGGCGCGGCGCAACCTTGTGTATTGGGAGGTTAATATGACGTTTGGAGAGTTTGAGGAGAGGTATGCGGGTGTGTTGGAGGAAGTGGGTGTGACGCCTTCGTCGGGCGAGGGCGTGTTTGGTGGGAGCGAGGAGAGTGGTAGTGGCAGGGACAAGGAGCGGGCGCTGGCGGAGGCATTTAGGGCGTTGGTTGTGACGAATGTGGGAGGTGATTTCAAGGATGTGGTGCTTGGCAAGACGAAGGTGTGGCTTTCGCAGCGGGCGTTTAGGGCGTTGGAGGATCGGTTGAGGATTAAGGAGGGAGGGGAGAGGGTTGGGAGGGAGTTGGGGATGGCCGGGGCGGCGTATGAGTCGTCAACTGTGCATGGGCATGGTGGTCAGGAGGGTGGGGGGTTGGATCCGTACTCGCCGTATCGACAGGCCGGGGAGGATGGGTTCTACAATTCGGGACAGGACCTTGGGACCCCTGGGTGGAATGCGGGAGGTTATGACCAGTACAATGGGAGCAACCAGCGCCTCCCACTCGTTTCCAACGCGTCGCCTTTCAACCGCGGCGAGTCGTATGACGATGAAGGCGCGTGGCGTGCTGGAGGGAAGAGTGATGAAGAGTACGAGCCCCCTTCGCGCATCCGCGGCGACGAGACGGATTCGATGTCCAACTTTGGCAGCGAGAGTTATGCGCCTTCGAGGAATATGTTTGCGGGTGGGGATAAGGGTGGTGGGAAGAAGGGTGGTGGCGAGAAGGCTGCGTTGGCTGGTGAACTGCTCGCTGCGGATCCGAATTCTGGTGTTGCCGCGCCTGGGGAGACGACTGAGGTTTTGAAGGAGTCTTCGGCGCGTCGACGATGGGTTGCGTTTACGTGGTTGCTCACTTGGTGGATCCCCTCTCCCTTCCTCGTCTGGTTCGGCCGTATGAAGCGTATGGATGTGCGACAAGCCTGGCGCGAGAAGCTCGCGTTGAACTTGATCATCTGGTTCATTTGCGGGTGCACGGTTTTCGTGATTGCGGTTCTTGGTCCGGTTATTTGTCCGACGGAGCATGTGTACTCGACGACCGAGTTGAGCGATCATAGCTTCGACAAGAGCCCGAACAAGGTTTATACGGCGATTCGCGGGGAGGTGTTTGATCTTACCAAGATTGCGGCTATGCATCAGAGGAAGATCCCTGTCGTTGCGCCCAAGGAGATTCTCAAGTATGGAGGGAGGGAGATTAATGATTTGTTCCCTGTTCAGGTGAGTTTTCTTTTTGTAGCTGCTCGGATGGATGTGGACTGGACGCTGATGCTGACGCTTGCTTGTGTGTAGGTCTCTGCTCTCTGCGATGGAATCGACGGGAATGTTAGCCCCTACGTCATGCTCAGCTCGAGGAACGTCACGGATACCAACGCTGTCTACCACGACTTCCGCGCGAGCACGAACGATCCCCGACCGGACTGGTACTTCCAACAGATGGTGACGATGCGGTACACTGCTCGCGTCGGCTTCCGCGGCTACACACCCAAGGAGATTCGGAATATGGCCAATCGAGGGCAGTCTGTTGCGATCTACAATGGGCTTGTCTACGATTTGACCGAGTACATCTCGACGCCGCCTAGGGCTGGTTCTCCTGAGGGCACCAATCCTCCGCCTGTCAACACGCAGTTTATGGATGGTGCTGTTTTGGAGTTGTTCACGATCCATGCGGGCAAGGATGTGACGAAGGAGTTGGACGAACTTGATATCCCCCGCGCTGTCCTCCGACGACAAAAGACGTGCCTCCGCAACCTGTTCACGATCGGCAAAGTGGATAACCGGCAAAGCCCGCAATGTCTGTTCTCGACGTACATCCTCCTCGTTCTCTCCATCATCATGGTTTCGATTATCGGTTTCAAGTTCCTCGCGTCGCTCAACTTTGGTGCCGCGCGTGCGCCTGAGGATCATGACAAGTTTGTGATCTGCCAGGTGCCGTGTTATACTGAAGGTGATCAGTCGTTGAGGCGGACGATTGATTCGTTGGCGCAGCTCAAGTATGATGATAAGCGCAAGCTTTTGCTGATCATTTGCGATGGTATGATTGTTGGTAGTGGGAACGACCGGCCTACGCCTCGTATTGTGCTTGATATTCTTGGTGCTGATCCTAATCTCGACCCGGAGCCGTTGAGCTTTGTGAGTTTGGGAGAGGGAGCGAAGCAGCATAATATGGGCAAGGTCTATTCTGGGTTGTACGAGTGCAGTGGACACGTTGTGCCGTATTTGGTTGTTGTGAAGGTTGGGAAGCCTACGGAGAGGAGTCGGCCTGGTAATCGTGGTAAACGAGATTCGCAGATGTTGTTGATGCATTTCTTGAACAAGGTGCGTTTTTATTTCCTTGTTTTGATTGGGTTTTGGGATGAAGTTGATGATGGGTGTGTTGGGTTGATAGGTCCACTTCAACTCGCCGATGAACCCGCTCGAGCTCGAGATGTACCACCAGATCAAGAATGTTATTGGTGTCAACCCGTCGTTCTATGAGTACTTGTTCATGGTTGACGCTGATACGACTGTGGAACCTCTTTCGCTTAACCGGCTTATCTCTGCGTATGTTTCTCTTTTACTCTTCTGGGTACGGTGGAGGCGTGATGCTGACAGTGCGTGGGGTATAGGATGATTCACGACAAGAAGCTCCTTGGTGTTTGCGGTGAGACTTCGCTCGCGAACGCGAAGCAGTCTATCGTCACCATGATGCAGGTATGCTGGTTTCTCCTCGTGGATCGAGGGTAGTAGCTGACGAGCGGGTGATAGGTCTACGAGTACTTCCTCTCCCATCACATGGCCAAGGCATTCGAATCCCTCTTCGGTTCCGTCACCTGTTTGCCCGGTTGTTTCACGCTCTACCGACTCCGCACGCCCGACACCCACAAGCCTCTCCTCATCTCTAACCAGCTGATCCACGACTACTCTGAAAACCGAGTCGACACGCTGCACATGAAGAACCTGTTGCACCTTGGTGAAGATCGATACCTCACGACGCTGCTACTCAAGCACTTCCCTCGGCACAAGACGCAGTTCGTCCGGGATGCGCATGCGTTCACTGTTGCTCCTGATGACTGGAAAGTTTTGCTTTCGCAGCGTCGCCGATGGATCAACTCTACGGTGCATAACCTTGGTGAACTTGTCTTCTTGGATCAGCTTTGTGGATTCTGTTGTTTCTCGATGCGGTTTGTGGTTATGATTGATCTGTTGTCGACGATTACGCAACCTGTCACTGTTGCCTATGTAAGTTTTTTGTTTCTTGTTCGTGTCTGGAGTTGGGGTTGCTGATGAGTGTTCGTCCTTTTTCTAGATCGCCTACCTCATCTACCTCATCGCTGGTCAAGGCAAACCGATCCCTCTGCTCTCGCTCATCATGATTGCGGCTATCTACGGTATCCAAGCGCTCGTCTTCATCCTCCGTCGCAAGTGGGACATGATTGGCTGGATGATTTTCTACATCCTCGCTATCCCGGCTTTCTCGTTCTTCCTCCCTCTCTACTCGTTCTGGAAGATGGACGATTTCTCCTGGGGTCAGACTCGTGTCGTCTTGGGAGAGAGTGGAAAGAAGGTTATTGTTCATGATGAGGGCAAGTTTGATCCCCGTGCGATTCCGACTAAGAGCTGGAGTGACTATGTGAGTTTTCTTTTCTATGTTTGTGGTAGTGATGGATGCTGATAGTGTGTGTGATAGGAAAACGAACTGTGGGATAAGGAGTCGAATCACAGTATTGGGTCGTGGGCTCCTGGCAAGGCTGGAATGGGAGGTGGTTACGCCGAGTCGAGGACTGCGTCGCTGTATGGACGCGAAACGCTCTACGAGCCTCAACTCCCTCAGATGCGCAGCTTCTCGCCTGTTCCATCGCAACTCGGCATGCACATGATGTCTGCGAACGCCTCTGGAGGGTTCGGTGCTCCGCCTGCGTATGGTAGCGCAAGTGGAAGGAATACGCCGCAGAGCATGTATGGAGGGGGATCGCCTGGTGTATTCGCCCCTGCTCCTTCACGACCTGTCACCAACTACCTCGACATGCCTATTTCTGGTGGATTCGATTCTGGCTTTGGAGGAGGGTTGAACGCGCAGCATACTGGTGGTGGTGGTATGGGAGGTGGACCGAGTGATATGGAGTTGGAGAGTGCGGTTCAGGATGTGTTGAGGCATGCTGATTTGAACCTTGTGACGAAGAGGGAGGTGAGGAGGACGTTGGAGGAGAGGTTTGGGATGGATCTTACGAGTCGGAAGGCGACGATCAATGCGGCTATCGACAGGATCTTGTCGAGTTCGTAAACTCGAACGAAAAAGCATACCCGCGCCTCTCTTTTCGACGACTACGACGTTCTTCATCTTTCTTCATCCAATGGACTTCTGGTTATCTCTCTCTTCAAGGACTCCACTACAAGCTTCGACATTCATTTGTAACGACCCATCTCCGATCATGTCCTCCCTACCCTACCCTCTTTTCCACAGACCCTCTTGGATTCGACCATCGTTTTCATCCTTTTCTTTGTTTCATTTTCTTGCACTCTCGTTATATTTTTTCTTTTTCTCTGCGTCATGACACGTCATAGCTTAGTATATCCATGGACCTCTTTTTCTTTTTTTACTAGTTGGAATTTGGCTGTTTTACCTCGCATCATCTGGGCCTTTTTCTGTTCCCATCTCAAAAAAACACTATTGCACGGACATATCTTTCCATTTATACATACGACGACGTACAGGTACACACACCTCATAGACTGCTGCTCCTCTCTCTCTCGTTTTCTACCACCCTCTCTTTATTATGGTATTAATTGACAATCGATTATACATAGTACATTCATTACATAGTAGTCGGCCTGTCCTCGACGTTCCGATCTTTTCTTCTTCCTCTCCCCTTTTTTTGTTAGTAGTACTAGGACTCGTTTGTTGGTCTGCCGTCCTCTCGTTTCGACCTTGCTCTTGCTAGTAGTCTCTAGTTTCCCATACGTTGTCATTTTATCTCTCTACGCAATAACAATTTGTATCTCTCACCTGGCTGTGCATTCGTCGCGATTGTGGGCTCTGTGTGGGCTCGTTCTGTGTTCTGGGTAACTAACGTTTACGGTACACGTCCAGTAAGGTTTGTACATAAACGCCTGACAGCTTCGCGAGCACAGCATATTTTTGGAAGTACAAAGGAACGACGGGGATCAAAATAGTGCTTGTTCAGTACCCACCATTATCACCTCCCTTTCTAGCAATGCGTTGGGTTTTTTGCAGCCACTCCCCGGTGTCTGCCAACCAGGGGACTTCTACCCATTTTATTAACCCATTCATGTCAGAAGCTGATCCTGGACTCGAGAAAGAACCTTCCAATGGCGCATCGACTCCTGCAGTTGTAGCTGAACTCTCCCCAACGGCGTTGGCGAGGATATGCGACTTCATCGACCCCGAAACAGAGAAGAAAACCTTACTCAGCTTCGCACTTTCCTTCAAGAACGCTGCCCAGGTCGCCCTGGATGCCCTGTGGTACTCCATGGATTCCTTGGGCCCGCTATTCGACGTTCTAAAAGCCTCTGCTGGTGGAGCCGTGTCGGTTGACGAGAATGACCAGAAGGTACTTGTCGATTCCCTTCTCTTGCTACGAGCACGTTGATTGACTTATTCCTTTCTAGATATTTGTCGGAAATCCTGACAAGGTGGCTTGGGAGCGGCTTTATGAGTATCGGAAGCGCGTCAGACGTTTCACGCTCTACAAGGATAGCTCGACGCTCATCCCAACCATAACTCTTTTTCGCCTGACTCAGCTCTGTGGGGTTGACCCACTCTCCCCCAATCTTCACTCTCTGGACGTCAAGCACACCCGAGCATGGACGCTGTCGAAGTTGTTTCTTTTCCTTTCACCGAGCTTGAAGACTGTACAGATAGAGGAGGTGACTCAGGACGAGATGGCCTTTATGGTCGAAACCTTTTTGAGCACGTTGGGCGAAACCAACCCTGCCATGAAGGGCATCTGCATCTTTGGTGACGTGCCTCAGTCTGTCCTACGCGCCGTGACGAGGGTGAAGGAACTAGAGATCCTCGAACTGGGGATTGCGCGATGGGGTCCATGGGTACATCAGTTGGGTCGCCTGGAGCGTTTGCATTCTTTGACCATTGAAAACCTCATTCCCCGGCCTGTTTTGCCTGTTACGTGGCCAGACCCTGTGGTAGAAGCAGATACCAAGCAGGTGGGGTCGGACCAACATGAAATTCCGGTCAAGACCGAGGAACCGACGAATGAAAGCGCTGAACTCCAGGACCCTTCCAAAGAAACAGTGACATCCAAAGAACCCGCCCATACGCCGTCGACCTCTGAAGATGCCAAAGAGGCTCGGAGCAGGGACCAGGATGAAGACTCGACGAGTAAGGAGACTGTTCAAGGTAAGCCTTCTTGCGGCCGAAGAGAATGTCATTTACATCGTTGGTTGTAGAGGAAGCCCCAGTTGAGGACCTGTCGACTCGATCTAGTAACTCGGACCATTCTGAGTCTACATCCTCAGAAACTACCCCGTTTCTGCCGGCCCTGAAGTCGATTGACATCGCTGGTCCTCCTACTGCTCTCACCGAGCTCATTCAACTTTTGGATTGTCGGTCACTTCAAGACGTGGTCATTCGCCCCGAAGCTAACAGACCATGGAAGAGTCTGCTGCACACTCTCGACGGAGAGAAAACTCCTTCATACGATGGCTTAAACAGCCTATATGGCCCCGAATCAGAACTGGTGGAAACACCTTCATGGATTAGGAAATTTGGAGCGACCCTCCAAATTCTTGCGTCCAGGGCAACCAGCGCTCCCTTGAAGGGTCTTTCTTTGTCCTGGAACCCCGACTCGCAACTCGCCCAAGCCATCGCTCCCATTTGGAAAGACCAGTCACCTCAACTGCCGGCGAAATATTTGGAAGGACTGGACTCATTCACCGAGTTGCAGTACTTGTCGATGATTCACTGGTCAATCTCCCCACTGGAGCCCTTCTTTGAACACGTCGTTCCAAAGCTGTCCAGACTTCGCGAACTCCACGTCTCCTTGTCGCCCAATCACCCAGGACTCGACCTCACCTCTCTCCACCATATCTTCGCTTGTCCCGAACTCTTCCGGCTGCAGGTTCCAATCGAAGTTGTGAAGCCCGTGCCATCGTGTATCGAGGCCCTTCCGGGACCGACAGGTCATCGATTGCAGGTGTTGTCCACAGGCAACTGGCCAGCTTCAGACCCACTTTTCCCAGATGTGGTGACGGGAATCCGATACAAGCGCCACCTCGCTGTGGCAAGGTATCTTGACACGCTCTTCCCTGCTTTGCAAGTGCTCTCTGGAAGCGGGGATTGGGAATACATCGTCGAGCTGATGCATATGCTCCAAAGAACGAGGGCGGAAGAAAGAATGAGAAGTTTAATGTTGACACACCACGGCGGGGAATAGGCGGAGAACATTTACTGGTCTACACATGGCCTGACGAGCGGGAACATTCATGCGTCGGCCATTGGAGGACAATTCAGCATCGCAACCCAGTGCTATAGGTACTACTGTGACGTACGTCCAAAATGATATTCCTGCTCTACTATTACGCTCGCAGTATATACCGGACCTCAGGCTTGTGGCTACTTCTCCGGTCGTGCATGCGAGTTAGTAATTTCTTGCGCTGTAGAACCCTGCTTCGAGCTTGAGCGCCCTCAGATCTAGTCGGCACGATTTGGGCTATTGGCCTATGCCCAGGAGGGTTGTTAACGAGAGAGAGGAGGCCCGGCCACAGATAGCATCCAGAAAGTGCGGAATCCCTGGTAGCGGAAGTATGATCCACAGCGCCAGCAGTGAGTTTATGCAGAACGATAAGCAATCGTCGCAGGCCATTCAACCTGGCACCTGGGACCTTGCTCTCCCAGATGGCACGCCATGGAGACATTGTAAAGTGAAAGGGTCGGACGAGCTGCTAGTATTGCTAGAGAAAACGGACCAGGTCACGACTCGCCATAAAGCGCGAACTAGGCGAGACTTGCAGCGGCTGGAAGTAACTTCAGGTCTCGTTTAAAGTCGCTGAACACGTCAATTTCTGGACATTTTTGGTTGTAACTAGCCAGGTAGCGCCTAAAAGTAAGTAAACTAACAGTAGAACAGTTAGGCCCGTGGCTCAATGCTACTGTAAAATAACAAACTTACACCGTTCCATCCGTCGCTATCATAATGTACGTCCTTCATGAAGTAAACTCCACCTTCTCCACGTCGAGCTTTGCCCCTACATCCTTCAATGCACGCAAAAATATCCCAAGTTTCGCCTTATCTCTCTCGGTCTCCTCGCGAATCTTCACAGCGTGTGCTTCGTCCACCAGCTGTTTCTTCCCCTTGTAAGGTGTCCAACGAATGGGAAAGAAGAGGTGCGTCATTGTTGCCTTGTCTTGCATTTTGTCACCGGGAGGGAAACGCACTGGCAAGCGAGAGTATTTAACGGGGACCTTGAATCCACAAACTAAAGCGATATACTCATTAAGCACGGTGTTCGGAGCCGCTCTTTATCAGAGAGTCCTGTCCTCCACACAAGGTATCTGACCATAGCAGTCCTGACACGACCGTTGGCACGTTCGATATCCTTGGACAACGGAAGCGTGTCGGCGAATTTCATGAAATCCTGTACTTCCATCTGATAGCCACTTTAAATGACCCGCTGATTTGAAGCCATGTCGAGAAAGGCTTTCAAGTTGAGGGGAATGTATGTGGTTAGAGTTGAAGGATCCTCGGTGCTTGGTTCAACAAACCCGGGCGCGCCGCGTACCACACGTGCTTCTAGAAGCGGGTTGTCTTCAACTTCAACTTGGTCGAAGACGTAGGACTATCTGCAATTCAAAGACAATGACTGTTCTGGTCGAAGTTGGTGTGGGAGGAGTTGGATAGGGTTTTCGGCGCTGGAATTGGTCAGGGTAAAGTTTCAGCTTCATCACGATGGGCCTTCGACGAACCGTGGCTTCTCTCCTACCGTCTCTCCCTTGGGATGTCAGGAAATGTGGAATAAAGTGTCTCAGGTAGAATAGAGTAACACGCAGCAAGGAGATAGTGATGTGATAGTGATAAACCGAGGCTTTCGACATACGCTTGGCTCGTGAGATACTAGGGCCTCCTCCTACCGATTGGCCTGCCAAGCACCTCTGGAAATCTTGGCCCGGGAATCGGCGCTTGTTCGGTCTCGCATAGGCGCCCATCGTATCATGTAAATTCCAAAGCGATATGGTATTGCCACTAGGATTGTTTTCGAGAATCAACATCGGATACTCGTGGATACTAATCAGTCTTCTTGAAAATGTCAATAGCCTTTGTGAGCTGCCTCGCGACCCATTTAAGATGCCGATGCTTGCGTATCCTGGCAAGGTACGTGAACAAGAACACAAGGGCGGTCTACAGTTTGTTTGTCAGCCATGCCCGATCCTTCCAACACAGCGACCACTCACGTTGAAAACGATATACCCGCAAAATATGCCAACGTCTCTCCAACGGTGTCGATAGTAGATACTGAACTGCGGGCCCATCCACTCGTCAGTCGTTCGGTACGGACATAACTGGCAGTCGGTTGTCGCAGCGCCATTCATCAGGTATCCGCCTACTCGCGAAATGTATTGGGACAGGTATGATTGGCACGTCTGGCCGGCTGGAGGTTGGATGAGCACGAGTTCCGTCTGAGAGCAGTTGATTTCTTGGCCCCCCAACGCTGCAAGAAGGAGTATTATCGATCAAACAAGCCTTAACTGCGAGTACTTGGGCAAGAACTGACCTTGGCCTACTACACCTTCGATCAGGTACGTATACGGAGAAAGATGGTACATCCACCTCCACCATCCAAGCTGCCTGTACGGTTGCACGACACCATCGCTACACTCCCACGCGTTCCAATCAGTGTCCTTCCTTCAACAAGAGCATGCGGCATAGCAGAAACTCACAAGGTCAACACAAACGAGAACAGAAACGAGAACATCAGACTCGCAATCTCGGCGGTCGCGCACATCGAGGCGACGGCCAGCGCGATGGTCGTGTAGTACGTCGGGAAGAGGAAGCCATACATGAGGTAGGTGTAGGCACCGCGCGAGGAGCGGAAGCCTACCGTCCAGTACCAGCAGCAGAAGAAGAGGCTGGAGCCGAGGATGTTCCAGGGCAGTTCGACGAGGATTTGGGAGGCAACGAGGGCGGTCCAGTGGTACATCCGGCTGGACCGTTCGCGGATTTCGTAGATGTCACGCATCTGAATGGATATGTCAGTATGGACAAGCCGACACGGGGCAACCGAGTCTATGATGTACCTTGATATATGGTACATGTAGCTGGCCGCCTAAGGGTGCACTCTATACACCGTCAGTTCCCTCGCAACCCATCAACCAGGTTCGCACTCACCAAAATAGTAGCCATAAAAATCGCCTAACAGCAAACGAAAGTCAGTTCCGCTACCCGTACCCAACGCCCGACTACTCACAAAAAGCTTGTTCTGGGTATCCTGCACCGTATCCTTACTCTTGAAAAACGTGAACCCAATAAACAATCCTCCGATAATATTCAACGTCAACTTGGACATCAAATATGTCGGGTCCCGCCAATACGTCCTCAAGGACCTCTGCAAGACAAAGCTGGCTTGATATATCCACGGAGTTGCAAAGGTCGATTTGAGTGTAGCTGCCACGGGAGGACTCTTCCGACCATCTTCATGGATCTGTTTCAGCTCCTCTTTGGCCCTTGCGCATTCCTCGGATTGGACCCAGACGTCGTTCCAGTCTCGATCGGTTACGGCCGTTGCACCTGCACCAATGATGTCGAGCATGTATTCTGCTCTGGAGGAACAGAGTGAGCGGGTATGCGGATGAGGGGAGAAGGGAAGGAAGAAAGAGCGTACGGGTTCTCCTCTGGGCTGCATTTCCGCCCTCCATTGGATTCAAAGTAATTGATGAGCGACGACGCGTGAGTGCCAATGTCGCCAAAGAAAACGACTTGACCGCCCTTCTTGAGGAGTAAGAGGCGGTCGAACACTTCGAAGAGTTCCGCTGAAGGCTGGTATCACAAGAGTTAGAAATCATCCATATCCAGTCATACGTGCATATCTCACTTGATGTATCCTGGAGCGACGAACAGCCGTCAGCATAGAACGAGTGGCACGAAAACAGCGTGAACTTACGTGCAAAGAATAGCCTGTCCATTATCAGCCAATGTCCGGAGAAAAGACACGATTGCCCAGGCGCTCTGCGAGTCCAACCCAGAAGTCGGTTCGTCCAAGAAAAGCAGCAATTTGGGCTAGAACGCACTAAGATTAGCCACTATGTAGAGGAACGATAAGCGGTCAAAGTCACAGTACCTTCGCCGCCAACTCGACCCCGATCGTCGTCCTCTTCTTCTGCTCCACACCAAGCGTACCAACCATCGCATCCGCGAACGGCTCCAGCCCACACATCTTCAGACACTTCTCTACACTGATAGCACCGTCAGCAATCGCCCACTAGAGATATAAAGCACACGGAAGGAGTTCTACTCACTACTCATCCTTCTCGGCAGTAGGAACATCACTGGGCTGCCTCAACCTCGCCGAAAACCTCAACGCCTCTCGAACAGTCGTGTTCCCCACATGCGTGTCCATCTGCTGGCAGTACCCCGTCTGTGACTGGAAGTCGGGTGGGAGAGCTTGGCCGTTGAAGAACCGGTCCCCTGTTATGACGCCCGTGTCTGTTCGTTCGGCAAGGACGTTCAGAAGGGTTGTCTATTCGGTCATTCAGTATCAGAACGAAAGGGCGGCAATGATGGTATGGCAATGGCGCACCTTTCCAGCACCAGACTCCCCCATCAACGCAGTCAACTTCCCCGGCGCAACATACCCCGACACATCATCCAACAATACCTTCTTCTCCCCCGCCACACTCACTATATACCGCAGATGATCCCACGAAAACACGTTCGTCATCTTCGGTTGTTCCTTCAGCGCATCCTGCGCTTCTACAGCTTCCACATCGATGACTCCTGCCCTCTTCTCCCCGTCCTTTCCATTCTTTCCATCCTTCCCACTCTCCCCATCCTTTTCTTTACCACCGTCCGCTTCCTTACCGCCGCTAGATCCACTAGAACTAGCAAGCGTAGCTTCATCAGCCACAGCCATAACCCCACCCTTCTCACCCGGCTGCTGGTCCTTCTCCTCGTCCGGCCCAACAGCCGCCTCAGCCTCCTCAACCACCGCAGGCCTCGTCCCGCGCTTAAACAGTATAACCGCCCGATCCCCCGCAACCCGCGTATTAAACTCTGAAAAAACGAGGAGGCAGAGGAGGAAGAAGATCCCAAATGCCACTAGGATGCCGTAGTTCTGTTCCCCCGCCAGAATCGCCGTTAGCACATACAATCTCAGATGGCAACTACGAAGGTTGGGGAGAGAGAGAGGGATAGACGTACCCGCCACAAGTTACGATGATAATACTCGAACGAAAGCGCGAGGTAGTCGCTCCCGTCGACGCGGTCCTGGCCTGGCTGGGCGCCCACAACCGGACACGCCTGGTTCGCCAGCCCTACACCCCCGTATCCGGGCCCGGAAGGTACGAGGTTCGCGCATGTCCCGTCTAGAGTGTGAAACTCGTTCGTCATGAGCGAGTCGAATGCGTATAGTGTCGGCTGTAGAGTGGGGTTTGGGTGAGTATGTAACATTGTCGGAGGAGGAGGTCCGAGTCGGGGGTTGGAGAGGGACGGAGGAAGGGCGGGGAGGAGAGATAGGGAGATGGGGAGATGGGACGTGAAGGGAGGTGAAGGGAGAGGAGGCAAGGAGTAGAACACCCACATTGATATACGATATCCACCTCAAAGCACCAATCATCGACGGCCTCGGAATCTGATACCCGGCATAAAGCGACAACGCAAGCAGCAAAACACCAGCCAAAGCCTGCGCCGGCGCCTCCGAAGGGAACATCGCCGCCAAACCGCGAAAGAAAGCTTTAAACGTTATCGAGATCGTGAACACGAACAGGAAGTAGATGCTATCAACGATTTAAAAGCCAAATAAAGGCCTCAGCAAGTGGAATACAGTGACATTACCGTGAATAGGAAGGAAAGACTCACAAGAACTGCCCAGCCGTTTGCTGCAGCTGCACTATAAAATACAGAATAATCGTGAACAGCACCATCGTCACGAACGTAAACGGTATATCGACGAGCGTTAAGGCGAGGGATTCAACCATGGGGTGGTACATCGCGGCTAGCTCGTGGCGGTGGATGATCCTGCGTTGAGCGAAGAGGGCAGGGATTTCGGACATGCTGAAGAGGGCGGGGAGGAAGACGGAGCTGTGGGTCAAGTCGATGTGAGTGGGAGGAAACCCAAGAGAGAAAGGAAGGGGCTAGGAGGGTAACGCACAAGAAGATTACGCCACCACGTGAGAAGTACGCTGAAGTGTCGTCTGGGACGCGAATGAAAGTCGTACCGATGATGATAGCTTGAAGGACGAAAGTACTGCAAGGCAGAAGTAACTTCATTAGTCTCCTTCATCGCGCGTAGGGACGGCGAGGAAAGGTCTTGAAGCCGGATGTATAACAGAGAAATAAAACAAAAGAGGGATACCTACGTCGTCTGCAACCCTTGTGCCAAAAAACTGCCTTTCATAATCTGCGCTCTGCGCACCATGACGATGCGGACTTGCATCGGGATTGAGATCGTGTACGAGCTCTGTCAATTCGTGTTAGCGTTGGTTGCTCAGTATGGATGGGTTGCTCAGTACGGGTGGATAGCACTCACCCTAGGTCTGGTATGCCTCGCATGCTCCTGCCGTGCACTCTCTTTATACCCCTCCTTCAAAGCCGATGCGTCCTTCCCACCACTGGCCTTATTACCGTGACTCGCCTCATTACCACCACTGGCCTTATTACCACCACTTGTCGTATTGCCGGCATCACTCGCGAATTGCGCACGATAATCCTCGACATCCGCCGCATTCATCCTGAAGATCTCCGAAGCGCGGTAGTACTGTTCGAATTCGAGGGGTGTTTGGGGGATGGGTTTGCGGGTTGGTTGGGTGCTGTCGTTTTCGTTCCCGTTGCCGCTTCCTCCTGCGGTGCTGCTCCCGTCAGTACTCCCATTACTCCCACTCCCAGCACCCCCATCTTCATCTCCATTTCCACCTCCATCATCACCACCACTCCCAGCCAGTCCCTTTCCAGCACCCCCCTTTCCATTCCCACTTCCGCGCTCCCTCCCCTCATCCTGACCCCTCACAACCCTCCCCTTCGGATCCGTCACGCCCACCAAGAAATCGGGTGTAGTCTGGCGGTTGGCGGGTACGTAGCCCATGTCTTCAAAGTAAGCGCGGGCGAGATGGCCGGGGCCGTAGTAGACCATGCGGCCTTCGTAGATTAGGCAGACCTGCGAGGAGGGGGAGGGAGGGGAGGGGGAAAGGAGAGGGTTTAGTTAGTTAGTGAGGGAGGAGAGGGCTTAATTAGTTAGTGGGGGAGGAGAGCGTGATAGGGTGGGAGAGGAAAGGCAGAAATCATACCTTGTCGAACAAGTTGAACAGCGATTCTCCGGCTTGGTAGATGGAGACGATCGTGGCGAGTTTGGCGAGGTCTGTGCCGATACGCAGGGCGCGGACGTACTCGAGGGCGGTGGATGAGTCGAGGCCGCGTGTCGAACTGCAAAAAACGACGCTAAGCGAATGGGATACATAGAAAGAATATGGTGTGCTGCCCACTTGTCCCAGGAGGTAATCAAACTACGCGTAGCCATCGTCTCGCTAATCCTATCCCCACCCCAAATTCAACCAAAAGTCAAAGTCTGCACAACGAGAGTGTCGAAATAAAGACATAACGAGTACTCACGAAACCCTCTTCTTCTCGCCGCCACTAATCCCCCTAATCGACGCGTCCCCAACAACCGTATTCTTCACATGCCCAAGCCCAAAAATCGTCTCATACAAATCCGCCACAAGCCTCGTATACTCACCCCTCGTCTGCCCCTCGACCCTCTCCTGCGGCGCCCGCGTCTTGGCCGCAAAGTGGATCGTCTGGTCGACGGTGAGGGTGGGGAAATGCTCGTCATTTTCTGGGCAGTATTGGACGTCGCCGCGGTAGTGTTTGGCTATTTCTTTTGGGGTGTGGGAGTCGTAGGAGATGTGGCCGGAGATGGAGTGGTACCCGGATCGGTGGTTGGCGAGGAGTTTGAGGAAGGTGGTGCAGCCTGAGCCGGGGCGGCCTAGGACGACTGGGTGGGGCATGTTGGATTAGATTGGTTTGCTATGAATTGGAGGGAGGGAGGAGGACGTACGGAGCATTTCGCCTGGACGAACTACGCCTTCGAAGTTGGTTATGATGTCTCGCAGAGGCGGGTGGCGGAGGGACAGTAGTGTTTTGAATAGGATTAGAGGGTTCAAGAAGGATCCTAGTGTCGGCTGGAAACTGGCTGAAGCACCAAGACCGACCACGCGAAGGTCGGAGAATACAACTCCTAGAGTACGAGGCTTGATTTCTGACTTGTCTCGTCTAAGTGCCAGGTACCAAGTAATCCATTTCATTGGCTCTTCAGCACGCAAGGATGAGCAGGCACGCACAACTTTAGATAATTCCTCACAATCTGCTCAAAATCCACGTCCTCGCCAACATCAAGCGTCGGCTCCGAGTCCGAATGCGAACCATCATCTCCTTCCCCATGCCCAGGCGAGCTCCTCGACGACCCAGCATGGGACAACGGCGGTGGATGAGAAATGTTACTCAAAGTCCTAGTCAGATGCAGAACGCCATCATGGTCAAAGTAGTCGACTGAGACATGCGAGGGGTGGTGCTGGACGTTGTGCAGCCGTGGCCTGCGGGGCGGCGAGATGCGTGTTGCGTCGAAGGAGGGGTGCAGGTGGTAGTGGCTTGGTGGGCGGCCGGTTGTCGTGGACTGTCGGATTCCTGTACTGGACGTGTTGGGGTTGGGTTGGGGATCCATTTTTCGACGCGGGGAATTGGGAAGGGAGGTTCATGGGTAGTTAAATTATGGAAAGGAGGCTCAGAGGAGGAGGATGAGACAGCTGACGTTGGAATCGAGGTCATTGGAGTGGTTAGTCCTAGGGGATAACCCAAAGCAATATCATACGCAGAAATGCAGAGATTCCGGCCGTCCATTGAGCCTGAGTACATTCATTGTCGAATCACGTATGCTCTTATGGCGCCTGCACACCAGTCATACAGCGTATCTATCGACAAGTCGTCAGTGATTCTTGCCGCACAAGGCGAAAACCGTACCTTTCGTTAATGATTTCTTCAGCCACTCGCCTTCCAATCCACCAAACGCAAATCGCACAATGAATTATCAAGCAAAGAGATAAAATTCCGTCGTCGATGCCAACGACATCGGCGCTTTTGGCGCCAAGCCTCATCCCGGTTTTCTCGGGGATGACGCAACCCCGATTCCATCTCCGCCTTAAAAATGTGGGAATCTGAAATTGGCTCGACGTGGTTGGTCACTGTTCCCGACAGCGAGCACGGCTCATATTTTCTCTATTCCCTCCCGACACTAGAGCAGGCCTGCGTCTCAGCAGCCTGGCTATATAATCTCAATCCTTTGCTGGTCCAATGTTGAGGCTTGTGTCGTCCGTGTCGCGACCCAACTCGGCGGGGCGACTCGGAAAGGTCGCAACGTCAACTCAGGGTCGGTCTGCGTTTTGCGGGGAGCGTACAACCAGGACTAACTCGTTGTATTTTACAGCTTTGTCTAGAAAGTTCTCGGCGACGTCCTCGAGAGGTGCAGATGTTACACTTACGATTGACGGCAAGGAAGTCACTGTTCCGCAAGGTGGGTTGGGAATTGGGAATTGGTTGGGGAAGGCACGGATGTTGACTCGGGTGCAGGAACCGCGTTGATTCAGGCTTGCGAGGCTGCTGGTGCCACAATACCAAGGTGCGTACCTCATTTCTTATACTTATGAACGTGAAATTGACCAACTTGTAGGTTTTGCTACCATGACCGGTGAGTTTGGATTTTTTGGTCAAGAGCTTTCCGAAATTGAATTACCCGTGTCTCAAGTCTCGCAATTGCTGGCAACTGTCGGTGAGTGCCTATGAAGCCCCCATAACCACTCCCCTGGCTAATATAACGTTTTAGTATGTGCTTGGTTGAAGTCGAGCGGTCACCCAAACCTGTAGCATCATGGTCAGTCAGCAACCTCGACTCAAATTTATCCGCACAACTCAACCTCCAACAGCGCAATGCCCGCAATGCCTGGTGCAAGGGTTTGGACCAACACCCCTCTCGTGCACGAAGCCCGGTACGTGCAACGACCCTATCAAGCTTCCCAATGCTGACCCGACCACAGTGAGGGTGTTATGGAATTCCTCCTCGCCAACCACCCACTCGACTGCCCCATCTGCGACCAGGGTGGTGAATGCGACCTCCAAGACCAATCCATGCGATACGGCTCCGACCGAACACGATTCCACGAAATCACCGGCAAGCGCGCCGTCGAAAACAAGGACCTCGGTCCCCTCGTCAAAACCTCGATGAACCGCTGCATCCAATGTACCCGCTGCGTCCGCTTCGCCAACGAAGTCGCCGGCGTCGAGGAGTTCGGCACCACCGGCCGTGGCAACGACATGCAAATCGGTACTTATGTCGAGAAGACGATGGACTCGGAGTTGTCTGGTAACATCGTCGACCTGTGCCCCGTCGGTGCACTGACGAGCAAGCCCTACGCCTACCACGCTCGTCCATGGGAGCTCAAAAACACCGAATCAATAGACGTCATGGACGCTGTTGGGTCGAACATCCGTATCGACTCGCGCGGCGTCCAAGTCATGCGTATCCAACCCAAAACCAACGACGACGTCAACGAGGAATGGATCAGCGACAAGACCCGATACGCCTACGACGGTCTCAAGTTCCAGCGCCTGACCACTCCCCTCGTCAAGCAGGGCGACCGCTTCGTCAGCACCAGCTGGGAGGAGGCTTTGAAGGTCGTCGCTGACGGCCTCGCCGCCTCGGGTGCGACCGGCGACGAAATCCAAGCCGTCGCTGGCGCCTTTGCCGACACCGAATCCCTCGTCGCGCTCAAGGACCTCGTCAACCGCCTCGGCTCTGAGAACCTCGCGAGCGACCAAGTCAACGGCTCCGCCCCGCCCGTGCACGGCGTCGACATCCGCTCCAACTACCTCTTCAACAGCACCATCCCCCGCATCGAAGAGGCCGACGCCATCCTCCTCGTCGGCACCAACCCGCGCCACGAAGCCGCCGTCCTCAACTCGCGCATCCGCAAGTCGTGGCTGCACACCGGTCTCGAAGTGGGCTTGATTGGTGAGCGCGTGGAGACGACGTACGGGTATGACTACCTCGGTGGGGACGCCAAGGCTTTGTCCGAGTTCATCACTGGCAAGAACGCGTTTGCGGACAAGTTTAAGAACGCGAAGAAGCCGTTGATTATTGTTGGTAGCGCACTTGCTGAGCACCCTGATGCGGCCGCTATTTACCACGAGCTGGCGACGTTTGTGGAGGCTAATAAGGCCAAGTTGGTTACTCCTGAATGGAACGGATTCAGCGTTCTTCAACGGGTGCGTTTTAATCCACTCCTAGTCAAAATCACTTCGCGACTGACACTTGGTTCCGCTATAGGCCGCCTCCCGCGCCGCAGCCTACGACATCGGCTTCGCACCCACGAAGAAGTCGTCCACCGCGAAGCCCAAGTTCATCTACCTCCTCAACGCCGACGAGATCGACCCCAAGTCGATCCCCAAGGACGCATTCGTCGTGTACCAAGGCCACCACGGTGACCTCGGTGCGCAGCTCGCGGACGTGTGTCTCCCTGGTGCTGCCTACACCGAGAAGGGCACCACCTGGGTCAACACGGAGGGCCGGACTCAGCTTGGTCGTGCGGCTGTTTCGCCGCCTGGAGCTGCTCGTGAGGATTGGAAGATTATTCGGTGCGTTTTACCCTCATTTTTCATTCCTCCTCGACACAGATCTAACCGTCCCTTCCCCTTGTGTTGTATACTATAGTGCCCTCTCGGAAGTCATGGGTTCCCCCCTCCCCTACGACGACATCCTCGAGCTCCGCGACCGCATGTGGGATATCTCTCCCACCTTGGTGCGGTACGACAATGTGGAGCCTACGACGACTGAGATTGTCCTTGCTGGTTTGAAGAACATCGGGTTGGCTACCCAGGGATCCAAGATTTCTGGTGTACCGTTTAGGAGGCCTATTTTGAATTTCTATCAGACTGATCCTATTTCGAGGGCGTGAGTGTCTATTCTTCCTTCCTATTTCTTTTCTTGAAACAATGGTTTACTGACGGCTCTTTCGTGTAGATCGGTCACGATGGCGCAGTGCACCAAGGCGTTTGTCAAGGGTGACAACTATGGATTGAGTGAAGTTGGAAAGGGTGCTCAGTCGGCGTTTGCATGATTATGTAGATGTTTAGACGACAGCAGCAACATTTCAATTTCGTTCCACATTTGCAGTAGACCATCCACACCCTTTTTTCTTTCTCATTATATTTCTGGTGGTATAAATAATAGGACGATCTTCCAAAACTCGAGACTAGTAGGCAGTGTAGGCTGGGGTTTGTGTGGTTTCAGAGTTTTGGTGAGTGAAAAGGCAAGGGTGTGGGCCTCAGGTGGGAAGGCGACAAGATGCAGTCCCAGAGGCAGGGAGAAACGCAGGGCCAATGAATGACCTACAGAGAAAGGCGTGTTTGCCGGAGGGCAATCTTCGATACGTTCATGGCCAGCCCCCAGGTGGAAGAAGGGACGCGCTCCCGACGATCGATGCATACCTCACTCAGAACATCTCACTCGCAGTCTCCAACCCTTTTTTTTCCCCAGCGTCCGGGTGTTAGAAACGTTAAAATTTAAAACCTGGACAAGGTCGTAGCATTTTCTATAATTAAGTACTTTTGTGAGTCTGGGGTGTCTATGCAACGAGGTTTGTGGTCTAAATTAGACGGAGAGGTGTGGTATAGGCCAGGTGCATTGTCGATAGGCGAGTAGGCGGGGAGCAAGGATTGTGGGTTCGCGACGAGTTGGTGCAACGGTCAGGGATTCGAATTCCGAAGGTGAGGCCTTGAGGGCAGTCGTTGCCCGTCTCACGCCGCGCGACGTGCGAGAAGGGTGGTCATGGGTGGTGGTGATGGCGGTGAAAGGTTGGTGGTGGAAGGAATAAGTAAGGCCTTTACGCCTGGTTCCTCTTGCTCTCGACTTGAGACACGATGTAGAGGCTGGCGTCCATGAACCTATCCACGCAGTTGGCGAGGCAGCTCTCTTCTGAGCGGGAGAGGCTGTTCGAGGAGACGGACGTTATGCATCTGGGTTTTTTATTCGAGGATTGGTTAGTCTTAAGTAGTCTTTCCCTGAACTGACGGCAGAGTCATTCCCTTATTCCCATAACTCAAGTGGTAACGGGAATGGGATGGGGAATGGGATGAAGAATGAAGGGATATTGAACGCACTTGTCCCAGCACATCCCAGTGAATTTTTGGACGCTCTCTTGGTATTTCCTCTGTAATTTGGGTGACGGTTGGTTAGCGTATTTAGTTCAGACCTTGAAGGCGACGCTATTCTCATACCTTGGCAAGTTCACTCTCGACAAACTCGGCGAGTTCTTTCTGTTCATTGCGAACAGGTCAACAGTACACGCGAAACGCGTCCACCCAAGTTCCAGTCAGCAACCCGTCCAAGCCCAAACTATGCAGCATAACGACGGAGGACGGCACGAACCTGGGTAGCAGCGTCGAATTGGAGAGTGGATTCGGACATTGTGGTGTAGAGTTTACTGGTGGTGTTTGTTGGCGGGAGGATGGGGGATTGGCGCTGGTGGACGTGGCGGTCAGCAAGCAAAAGGTGTGAGAAAAGGTGCCGGTCGACGTCACGGACTAAATTTGATCGCAAGAATTAGGGGCGCTTACGTTGTTTATGGTTTTAGAGTCCCTATCCTCAGACCATGCCCCTCATTGAGCCACTGAGAAATGGGGGAGGCGGGGAGAGTAGGTGGGTTTATCCTTTTATAGTACACTGATTCACTGCGGGAGCTCTTACTTCCCGTCTTTAGTCTACAACTATGATACACGGCCTTTTCTTCTATATGATACACGATGCCTTTGCTACTGGTATCCCCAGGCGAGTTCACGTCACCTATGGTTCAAACTTCTCCGATACCTGTGATTCGTGGAATCGGAGATCATGCGAGACAGGGTCGCTAAAGCTCTCCGGGCGCCTAACCCACGACCTCCCACTTGCAACTCTGAATATAATCAGCTGCGGTGCAAGGGACTGTAGAGTATCCAGAAAGTCAGCTAACAATCCACCACCGAGAAATGAAGTCGAGAGTACTCACAATCACAGTGTTATACCCCACCGCAAACACCGTGTATACCTGATACGCCGTCCAACCCGCCACAATATTCGTCGTAGCGTACGGGATCGTAACAACCGCGATAGCCGCAGCCGATTCCACGAGCATAGCGACGACGCTCGTGTAGACCCTATCGTCTATGGCTAGCCCTAAAGTGCGGGTGAGCCTTCGACGGGCACGCATGAGGCGGATGGAGATGAGGGCGGTGACGAGGATGTGGAGGGACATGTAGACGAAGGCGTCGACTGTGCGGAGGTGGTGCGAGCGGTATTTCCAGCCGTGGAGGGGTATGAAAGGGCGGAGACTTATACCTGGACGGTCTGAGTATGAGATTTAGAACTTGGGTGAGAGCGGGAATCGTCCGCACCGAAAGATGCGAGGAAGACTAGTACAGGGAGGATAGCCACTGCCAACCGATCTTGCCAGATAATATAACACCGGTATATCTGTAACAAAGTTACAATTACGAATCGTCTTCAATGGAGTCCTAGGCCATTCGAGCACTCACCAGCAACAAATCCCCAACCCACCGCTGCACCATAAGCCCCATAATCTCCATATGATCCAGCAACGAATTATCATACTTCTCCCAGACTTCATCGACGTTCCCACTAGGCAGATGCGTCTCCAACAAGACATTATAAACGTTAATAGCCCCGCTCACAGCCGACATGCACGCCAACGACACCATGACGAAGCTAACGACAAGGTAGCGTTCGCGGCCGCGCCGTTCGACGCGGGGGAGTTCGAGGTAGAGTTGGACGCTGTAGATCCACATGAACAGTTCGATTGCTGGGTTTCTAGATTGTCAGGATGTTTTGGTGGAAAGATGCACTAGTAGGCTTTAGGGGACGTCGACGTACCTGCCACTGCGATCCCCACCGTCGAGTTGGAGTAGAGTCCTCCAGCGAGGTACCACCGGTCTACCAGATCTTGCGTTGGCTCTGCCATAGTCAACGAAACAGCTCACTGGCAGTGAGAACGCTGAGTATGCCCCGTGCCCTTCAGCCTGGGCCTCACTCGGCCTTTTATCCCAGAACTCGCGGAGCTAGAAAAGAATAAGTAGATAAGCAGCACTACATATGCATCGGAACCGCCGGAGAAAAAGAAGGGAGAGGAAGAGCTTCGAAAGGGACGAGTAGACCTACAGTATGTGCTGGTGGTCCGCATCTAGTCGCCGGTGACATTTGACGTGAGGCTTACAGAGGCTCAGCAACCAGAGGGTGCCGGTGAGGTGGGTTACTACAGAAGCACGAAATGACACTAGGCGGAGATGAGCAGGAGATCAGGACAAGCGCACCCGTCTCGCTCGTACCCTTCTTTATAATCATCCTTGTTCGTAGTAGCCTCCATGAAGAGTGAAGTCTAAGTCACTTGAAGTCCGATTGGTGACTCGAGCACGGCCTATAAAAAAAAAACACCACCAAAACATAGACGATTATATAGTACATAGCAAGTACTAGCATGAACTGTAGCCTGTAACATGAAAAAGCCACCGTAAGAAACAACGTTGTTGAGTCAAGCTGACCTTCTGACTTTCAAGAAATCACGGACAAAGATCCCGCATGGGAAAGTCATAGATGTCTATCCATCGCGTGGGCAGGGACAAGTCAGGCACGAGAAGATCATAGTGAGAATCAGAGGAAAGAAGTTCAAGCTGCGTCATGGGGATTCCCATAGTTCAATCTTAAGAGCCCTTAAGCCTTCTTAAGCCTGTGGTGGAAAACAGGCGGAAAGCATCAGTGTGTTCCCCATGGGAAGTTGGAGGAAACTTGATCTTTTTCACCCTTCTAAGGGACCAAGGCCCCTCAGGCTCTTCATCATGGACACAGAGATGACGGCCAAGGCTCTGAACGAATATTTGTGGTCGGGGGGGGGGGGGTGTGACCAAAAGAGTGTTATTGAAAAGAGTGTTATTTGCAATGGATAGTGTTATTTACAAAAAAGAGTGTTATTTCAATCACTGGAGTGTTATTCTCGTGAATAGCACTCTCTTCAGCTACGTGCCAAGCTGCTTTAGCCAAGGAACGCCGAGAGCCGAGAGATATGAAAGGGGAAGTGGTTTCTATAACAGGCCGTTCTCCGGGGTTCGAACGGCGAGCAGGTTATTGAAGTTGTTTGAAACCGGCCCTAAAGTACAAGGGCAATGCCTTTTCTACCCAGGAGTACGGTTGGCGGGATGCGAGGATGAATTTCACGCGCGGGTGATGCCATCAGAGTCCTGATTACCTCCCGACTCCCGACTCTCGACACAAACCACCTCCCCAGCTACCCGTTTGCTACTCCTAAGGGCCCAAAATAATCAAGTATAGTCTCAATACATATATCATCCAATATATTAAATAAAAACGAGTAGCTGGTAATCTGGGGAGGAGGTATGAGAGACGTAAGTGTCAGGAGCCTCAATGAGCCTGCCCTAAAGTGACCGGCGGGCGCCTGTTCAACGCTGACCTTTGAAGAGAAGCAGGCCATTTATTGATTCTAAGGGACTAAAGTTGTTCAGAGAGCTCTCGTGTATATTTAAAACAGAATAGAGACGTTCACTTATGGATGAGTCAAGCAACAGTATACATCATAAAGGTTCCAACACAAATAGACATCATTACCCTAATACAAACACCTAATTCGTCCCTTTTCTACGCTTACGTTTATGAATCGCATCAAGTGGGTCTTCGTCTTCCTCATCTGAGCCCACATCAACAATATCCCAACCATGTCTAGAGAGGTGGTCCACCATGTCATTCAGTTTCGTGTGTGTAACGACTTGTAAATAAACCACTTACTTTTTCTTCTCCTTCGGTGATCGCTTCCCTCCTGCTACTAATCTGGGTCGAAAGTCCACCTGAGCTCGTTTCCGGCTGCTGATGCGGCGCGTAGGTGGGATAGCGACGGTGGCAAGACTGGAAGACGACGCTTCAGCAAGGCCAATGCTTACAGAGCCAGAGGGTTGGCCTGTAGCACCATCAGCACTCGAGGCGGTCCCCATAGCAAGTGCATCGCCTGGATTTATCGCGATGGATAGCGGAGCCTGAGGAGAAGGAGGTTCTTGAGACGAGGGTGGAGGGTGAAGAGGAGGTAAAGCCCAGGTCGAACCACTCAAATCTGAAGCCCAGGCACTTGGACCAGCATGAGGAATTTGTGACGACGAGGCTGGCACAAGGTTCATGCTGGATAGGAACGTGTCAAACTCAGCGCTGTTGATCGGGGCAGTAAGGGAGGTTGTTGGAAAGTCGGAAAGTGGAGAATTCGTCGTCAAAGGTGAGCTGTGCCGACGATGTTGGAGCGTCATCTGTGTTTGAAAAGTAGGGAAAGGATGTCGATAGCGTTGGCTCGTCTGAATAGGCAACAATTCAGTCTCAGTCGCACATTGAATCAATAACATCGAGTTTAGGGCACATACCATAGACTTGGGCGGCGAACGCATCATTAATGTGGCTCCAATCTACGCGATACAGCCAGGCGTTAGCTTGATGCCTTGCCAATAGCTGGACACTCACTTTGTTCCTGTCGCGAAGAGCGAACACTAAACCAAAACTAAGACCAGAGACGAGGAGCGGTGAAAGCGACGAAAAGAGCTTAGAGCGATGAGCGACGGTTTGGAGTGAAGACTAGAGCGATGAATTGACGAAAGAGGTCAAGCTAAGGAAATACAGAGCGAACTACCTAGCTTATATACCTATTCTACCAGTTACATAGCCACGATGAGTCGAGATGACGAGCAAATGGTGAAAGACAGAAGAACAATAAAAAGATAGTCACAAGGCTGCGCGAGGCTGCGCGAAGAACAAGAATGAAACAATAATGAAGTAAAAAGACGTCAGAATGAGTCGAAAGGCAATACAATGGCAGTGCGTAACAATAAGAACAATAGAAGCAGGGGTAAAGGGCAAAACGGGGCAAGTGTTCCATGAGAGAAAGAGTCCATAGACGAGAATAAAAATAAGAGATAGGGGTAACAGGAAAGATAAGATGCGGATACAGATAAGATAAGATGAAAATGAAAATAGGGGCCATACCAGCTGTTCACGACATTACCCCCCTTCTAAGCCTCATCGTCCTCGATGACCAATGGTAGACGGCGTCCAAGTTCCCAGTCGAGGTCGGTAGGCGGAGCGTCAGTGAAGTTCTCAAGTGGGCGCCAGGGGAGAGAGCTGAAGATGGTGGCGGCGATGCGGCGTGGTGCAGAGGGGTGTCGCTGGTGGAACTCCTTCACAATCTCGGGTGCGTGCTCCAGGTTCTCCTCCGGTTCCCAAGTGTCGTCCGTCGACCCATAACCCTTCCAACTGACCAAATACTCCAGTTTGCGATTCTTTCCTCGACCTCTCCAACGGCTGTCCAAGATGTCGTGAACCTCGTATTCAAGCTCCCCTTCTAGTTCGACGAGGCTCAGGCGGGGGTGGCAAAATGCCGTTGACATCATTGCCTTTCCAGGGGGAGAGCTTGTCGACGTGGAAGACGGGGTGAATGCGGGAGAGGGATTTGGGGAGATCGAGTTCGTAGTCGAGATCGCCAACACGCTTAGTGACCTTGTAGGGACCGAGTTGGAGATCGCCGAGTTTGCGAGTCGGTACCTTGATCTGGATATCCTTGGCACTAAGCCAGACGTAGTCGCCAGGTTGGAATTGGTGAGCGGAGCGTTTGCCGGATTCGTATGCGTCCTTCTGTTGGGCCTTTTCGAGTCGAAGAGCTGCCTCGGCGTCCTTCCTGACTTCTTGGAGGTGCTGGACTCGTTCGTCGACAGGGCGGAGGTCAGTGCGCTTGCCGATGGGGATGTTGAAGTGGGGAATGTAGCCGTAGAGGACCTCAAAGGGGGAGTGATTGTGAGCAGAGTGGACACGGGAGTTGATCACAAATTCAGCCATTGGAAGATGCTCATCCCAGTCATCCTGACGACGACTGACGTAGAGTCGGAGGTATTTCTCGACTTCTTGATTGGCGCGTTCAGTCTGTCCATTGGCTTGGGGATGATATGCCGTCGTGAGGTTGGACTCAATGCCAAGACGTTTGAGCCAGGGTGCGCATAACCTTGGAGGCGAACTGAGGACCACGATCGCTGATGAATCGGAGTGTGGAGGCCGTGTAAACGGAAGACTTCTCGATAGTAGATGTCGGCGACGCCTTCAGTAGTGATGTCAGAGGTACAGGGAAGGGCGTGGAGGACCTTGCTGTAGTGATCCGTGAAGACGATAATGGCGTCGTGTCCGTGGGCCTCTGGGAGCTGCGTGATGAGATCGACTCCTACAGATTCCCAAGGGCCTTCAGGAACATCGAGCGGCTGAGTCGAGGCGCGAGGGTGTTGGGCACTGCTTCTTCCGGGCACAGATGTCGCATCCCTCTACGTACTTCTTGACAAAGGCACGCATCGTGGGCCACCAGTACTGTCGTTCGACACGCTCAAGGGTTCCGTGGACGCCGGGGTGACCAGAAGTGGGATCGTCGTGGCACTGCTTGAGGACATCACGACGGAGCTCGTCATCCGGGGGAACGTAGACGCGACCCTTGTAGTAGACCAATCCATTTTCCTCTTCCCATTCAGCAAGGCCGTTAGTGAGGCGGCGGGGACCTGTCTTCCGGAGTTGGGCGAGACCATCGAGCACCTGTGACTCTCGAGCACTGGCTTGGCGGAGGCGATCTTCAAGAGGGTTGACGACCATACTAGAGGCGGCGAGCTTGGCGAACATTTCGGGCTTAAGGACGATCTGTTTGTTTGTTGTCCTCCGCGTCGGTGACCTGATGGATGTCGAGACGGGATAGGGCGTCGGCTTGGGTGTTAGCCTTGCCGGGGCGGTGGGTGAGGAGGAACTTGAAGCGGGAGAGGTAGAGGGCCCAGCGTGCTTGTCGTCGACTAAGATCCTGTGCTGATCGCCAGTACTCGAGGTTGGAGTGGTCCGTGACAATCTCGAATGGCTCTGGGAGTCCCTTCAAGGAAGTGGCGCCAGTCCTTGAGAGCTTCGATGATGGCGAGCATCTCTCGATCGTAAATCTCGTAGTTGCGTTCGGCGGGTTGCATGGAGGCGGAGCGGAAAGCGACAGGGTGCCAGAGTCCATCGTCGTGCTTCTGAAGGAGCGCTCCTCCAGTGGCGAAGCCGGAGGCATCAACCTCAATACGGGTGGGGCGATCGGGGTCCCAGAGTGTCAAGATAGGCGCAGAGGTGAAGGCGTTGCGGAAGGGTATCGAAGGCTTGCTGTTAGAGGTTCGTTCCATTGCCAGGGAGCATTCTTCTTTGTGAGGTCGTTGAGCGGACGAGCGACAGTAGCGAAATCCTTGATGAAGCGAGCGGTAGAAATTGGCAAAACCGAGGAAGCCTCGAACGGCGCGGAGGTTACGGGGAACAGGCCAGTTGCGGACGGCCTCAACCTTGGCGGGGTCCATAGACACTTCTCCCTCTCGGATAACCAGGCCCAGATACTCGATCTCCTCTCGTTCAAACTCGCACTTCTCCGGGCGAAGGTACAGGTCGTGTTTCTTGAGACGACGGAGAACCTCATGGGTAACTTCTCGATGTTCGTCGAGAGTGGCCGTGAAGATGAGGATGTCGTCGAGATACACTGCGACCTTTCCTGCGGCGATGAGGTCAGAGAAGATGGAGTTCATAAGAGCCTGGAACGTAGCTGGAGAGTTCGTAAGACCAAAGAACATGACCAACGGCTCGAAGAGACCCTGGTTGGTTGCAAATGCTGCCTTCCATTCGTCTCCCTCCTTGATCCGTATGTTGTTATAGCCCCAGCGAACGTCGAACTTGGTGAAGTACTTGGCTCCTCGAAGGCGGTTGATGATATCGGAGACGAGGGGGAGGGGATAGCGGTTCTTCACAGTGATCTCGTTGAGTTTCCGGTAGTCCTGAACAAAACGGAGCTTGCCGTCCTTCTTCTTAACAGAGAAGACGGGGACGAGAGGGGCGATTTGAGGGCCGGATGGCCACCGATGCCGAGTCCCTGAGCTGTCCAGTCGGGTGGATCCCGCCGACGTATAAGGCTCCACACCCCCCTGCGTGAAGAAGGCGAAGGCCGTATGGGAAACTGTCCTTGACACTGATGGGTTCCGCGATTGGGTGGAAGACCTCGAGCGTAAGGCAGGTGAGTACCAGTTTCTTTTCTTTTATCCTTAATCTCATTTCCTTCGTCTAGATGAGCGGGCAGCTCAAAAGAAACGTCGTGCTCTGCCAGCGTCGCCGCCGCCAAAACGTCAACGTCTCGCGTCACCCGCCTCTGTCACCCTTTCTCGTCCTCGTCCCGGCCGCGCCACTCGTCCGCCGCCTCCTCCTTCTTATCCTTCGCCTCTGGCCAAACCCACGCCCAAGTCGTCGGCTGGGCCTGCTCCCATGGCCTCTTCGTCGAAGGGCAAGGCCCCGCTGGTCTCGCCCTTCAAGACTTCTCGTGTCGTCGAGTCTGACGACGAGGAGGAAGAAGCGTCTTCCGAGGAGGAGTCTTCTGAGGAAGTCGAGGTTGTCGAAGAGGAGGAAGAGGGTGATGACGAGGACGACGAGCTGGTCTCTGAGAAGGGCAGGGCTAGCAGCTCCAAGGCGTCGTCCAAGAAGCGCCGTCGTCGGTCCTCCTCGAGCTCCGAGGTTGAAGAGATCTCTGCGCCTCTCGTCAAGATCGAGAAGGGCGTGAAGGCGCCCCCTAAGGCTCTTCCTTCCGCGTCTTGGGCTGCCGGTTCTGTAGAAGAGGACGCCTCGGTCCTGCACGGCAATCGGTTCCAGGCTGTGGCCGACCTGTGCCTCCATGAGGAGCATCTGGGCCCTGCGGTACGTCTCCGACTTTTTACTTCTTCGCTTCTCGTTCTGAACTTTATTCTCTTCCAGTTTCGACCGCGCTGTTCAGTTTGCGCGCTTATTCAGGGCCCCTCGGCTAACTGCGTCGGAAAAGGCTGCGACACCAAGTGTTCGAGGTGCGCCTCGGGCCTTAGGAGTTGTTCCTGCAAGCTCGTCGACACGCCTAGCGGTCAGGCCAAGCGCGACAACCACCTCTGGATCGGTGCGTTGGCCGCTCCCTACGGTAAGCCTTAGTTTCCCTTACTTATTTGTCGATTTCTTCTAACTTTCGCTTTTTCTTTTACAGCTCTCGATTCTAAGGTCAACGACATCATCGACGCCTTCCACACCTGGCAGGCTCAAGAACGACTCGCGGCGTCCACCGCTCTGAGTCTTCGTCGACACGTCGTCTGCCTCGTCGATCGCCTTTCGCGCGCCGAAGTCGCTAGGGGTCGCCCGTTTCTCCTCAAGCACGTCTTTGGTACGGAGGAGAACCTCCAGGCGTTCGAGAGGATCCGTCGGTTGGCCATCGCCG